CTTTCTGGGCGAATTCTTTGCTGATGTAATGTTTACTTTGCCACAAAAATCTTGCTGTTGCATTCTGCAATGACTGCCAACAGATCCCGGATTAATCCGGCGGATGGAAAGTATCTCGACCACAGTCCGTGCACAGCGCGGGGGCCTCTCCCACCAACCGTCTGCGTCCTTGTGGAGCAAGCGGCGGCTTCGACGTGTTGATTGTGGTCTGGAATGGACGACTTGAAGCAAGAAACAAAGCGATTGCACGGTGACTTTAAAGGGTTGTCCTGCTCTCCCGTCCTCCAGGTGTGTCTGAACGAAGCCAACTAATCGCAGGTCACATGTCAGCGTCGGCCTGTCGTCTTTTCCCTTGACGCGTCCGTCAAAAAACACGTGTCACGTGTGCGGTAAACCAGAAGAAGCAAACGGGTCTTTAAACTCACAGGCCTTGAGAGAACAGCGCGATGACCCGTGATGGGAGTTCGACCTGCACGGCCTCATTTCAGCGAGTCACCGTGAAAAGGAAAATACGCAAGGGGGGGCAGATCCTCGGGACGGCTCGGCGCAAAGCAAACACTCTCCGCCACGTCCGTGGCCTCTCTCATGTCCTCACTGGTCTGTGGCCTTTGACGCCCCCCCCCAAGGATGGTTTCCTCATCATCCCGTTGGGTGGCTGACACCCTTAAACAGGAAGGGGCTCCTGCAGGGAGAGCGGAGGGGAAACCCGGGTGAGTCACATCATGAGGACCCGCGGGAGAGAGGACTCAGACACACGAGGCCATGACGGCGCAGAGGACGTGCCGCCCACGCGAATAAAAGCAGCCGTCTCTTCTTCAAAAAGGGGGGCGGCGGCGGCGGGCCGGCCCACTATCTGGAGCGAGCGTCGTGCTCTGGAAGGGGCGAGCCGATAGGATGCAGTAAATCCTTTCTTCAGTTCAAACAGAGCCTCGGCCTGCACCACCCTCCCTCCCTCCCTCCCTCCATCCGTCTCAACGGGGTGGTCCATCCTGTGAAGACCATCTCTATCCAGAGTGACCTGGCAGAGACCGCCGCAGCGGAGACAGGAACACGCGCGGCCCCTCAATCAGCGGTTTCCAGCAGGTGTGCTGCACCTCTCTTCTCTTTCACACTGAACTGCGTCCCGGCGGCTCCCCTTCCGGTAAATGCAACAGCATGTGGCGTGACGTGGTTTCACCGGTCCGCGGGCTGTCACGCGCTTCTTCCGCTCACGCAAACGCAAAATCAGCTTTGCGCTCTCGTCTTTGATGCCGCTGTCGGCGCAGTTCCCCTTTCAACAGATGGGACGGTGCGGCGAAGGTGGAGGTGATATGTGGCTCTGCGCTGTAAACACACCGTAAGCCGATCCGTACACAAAAGGAGGCGGCGAATGTGCCGGCCAGATGTGGCTATTGTTGTGCTCGCGCAGCTGTGGTCGGTGAAACTCATTGAAAACCTCGTCCTCTTCTAACTGGAGGCAGTCAAGAGTTGGAAAAAAACTTCCTGCGGCGACTTTTAAGTCAAAAGATGACAAGCTTCTGCCATTGTTGTGGCCCAAAACCACAGACCCACACGGCGGTTCACTTTCAAATACGGGTTGCTCTTCGATACTCGAGTCCAGGTGCTTCATTGGGTTCAGGCGCCGCGAGATGGTAACTTCAGGCTTGTTAAGGATCTTTCTCTAAAAAGCATTTTCGAATGCCCACGCCGGCGAGGCCGGCCGGGCTCCAGCCGTGTAGCTGCAGGGTCGGATGTGCTTGAAGTCTCCCAGCGCTGAGGATCCACCGAGGGGCCTGCGGTCGGAAAAGGGGGGGGCCCGGTGCCAGGCTCTGCTTGCCAGTGCCAGTCAGCCTTTGGCAACACTCGGGAGCATTTTGGGTGGCGAGCACTCCATCAAGCCTTGCTTATTTTTGTACGCCTATCCTGGGAGTCGGGATTAATGACAGTGACCTTGTGACTCTAAGCCAAAGGTATGCAGCCGTTTACCACCTCAGAGGAATGCGTTGTAAACCGCGCTGCTGCTCGTCTCTGCGCTTCAGGAACTATATGAAGCATTTTACATGCATGTACAGTTAAAGGGACGATTTGACATGGATATGAGGAGACAGGCAGAGAAGTCTAAGAGTTTTCCGCCCAGTGAGGCTCTACATATGAGAACAGCAGGCTGCAATCCTCCTATTCAGCAGCTCCCACTGATGAGATCGCCATTAGTTTTGCAGTATCGAACGAATGAGAAGCCAGATAATGCTGCCGGATCAAACGTGACGAGACGTACAATTTGTTTTAGTCGCTGACACGTTTCACACAAAGTCTCATTGTGGAGCTGAAGGTAAAGTCAAGGAATCACAAAATCCATTTGAACTCATCCTCTGGGGCTCATGAATATCTGTTTTACATTTCATAGCAATTAATTAAATAGTTCTTGGCACATATGAGTCCGGCCTTGACGGATCAATCCCTGGAGCCGCGCTTCAAAGCCTGAAACATTTCATCGGACTGTTTGTTTGCTGCACACACTTACGGACCGACATCGGAATGAAGCCCATTCAAACCTGCTGTGGGGACACCGAATGTGAAAACACGGGCGGAGCGGCGCGACGGTGTCTCTCAACCAGCGGGACACTGGACGCCTCGTCTTTCCAGACAAAATACCGGCGCTAAAATATTTTTAGACACTCGGGATACAAAACAGCTGCAAATCCCAGCAGAAGAATCAATATCTATTCTTCCGACATCAAATGAAACACGGACAGCCATCAGCAGGGGGACTGACATCCGCCTCCCAAAACGTCCAGACAGCCCGAGGTTGCTTCTTTCGTCCTGTGAGGCTGCTCACGCAGAGAACCCTGATGTTGACGCGTGCTTGGACGGAGGCCTGATGGACCTTTCGCATGAAACATGAAGTCAGAACGTCGTGCCGCGAAGGCTGAACTTCCATCGTCGCAGGTGAAGAATAGCCGCAGCCAATGCGGCTATTCTTGATCGGGTAATGAGAGCCTGTGTGTGTGTGTGTGTGTGTGTTGCAGGAATGGGGGAGAAGCTGTAAAGACACCCGAGGCGCGTCACGTCCGTTGTCCTCCGGGCCCGCGGAGATCACCGTCTTTGATCGCGGGAGCTGATGGACGTCTCCTCGGTGTCTGACTCACACACGGGAAATGAGGCAGTGTATTTTTGTTCAAGTCCGTTGGTTGACTCAACCAGAAACTTGGCACCCCGGGGCCCCCGGCTGGTCTAGGAGATGTTTATTTAATAACACGCCGAGCATTTGTCAGAGAAACATGTTTTTCCCCGGGAATTAGTATCGTCCGATGAATTCAGAAGAACGCGCGGCGGCGGCGTTGCTGCTGCTGCTGCTGCGCGTTCTCCCCGGGGAGGGACAAGTGTTCCAGCGTGGTACGTTAGTCTCAGCCGGAGGTAGACTTTCTGATTTGTGGTTCCTCTTTAGCGAGCATTCCTGTGGGGGTTTGAGAAAGACCATTATGCAAATCCACAGGTGCACGCCAAGACCAAATAACCAGACTGCTGCCTCCAAGTAGTTCAAGATGCCGCTCCGACTGCTCCGGATAGCGTTCAGACCACAGGCAGGAGACACGGGGGCGCAGCCTCGAGGGCCACGGGGCCCCGCGTGTTCAGCGCCAAAAAACAAATAAATAAATAAATGAATAAAATCGACGGACACTGGACGCTTCGGGGAGCAAAGAGTATATTTCTCACACATCCGTCTGATGAGCCACCGTGCGGCTCTCGAAAGACGTCCGAATGACCTTTGTTGGTGTTCGCGCGCCCTGGAGGCGGCAGACGGCAGAGGAGGCCTTTGTCCTCTGATGCCGCGCGTAGAGCCACTGCCACCTTCTGTCTGAAACACGCAACCTGCAGGAACCTCCACAAAATGATGCGTTTAGATGGACGCGTTTGGAGAATATTTAAAAAATGTATTCAAATATTTTGACCCGTGGGAGAACGAATGTGATGTGCAAAAAAAAATGTGATAAACGATAAGAATTTATTCCATGTTTTCTTTTTCTTTTTTATTGCCATAAACAAAAGTGCAGAGAATCTCAAACATTCGCCAGCAGAGGCTGGCCGTTAAAAAAAAAAAACTGAAAGAAAAAGTATCCCAGTTTTAAAGTCAGAGGCAAATATTTTACATCATCGACACGGCTAAAATCCGACTGAGACACAAACATAAAACGTGTTATATGGGCATGGAAGTCAAAACATTAAACAGGAACATAAAACTCCAGAACAGAGCTCCTTCATATTTGTTTATAATGGACATTTCTAAGCGAACAGCGAACACATGTGAAGCTTAAACCACGTTTACTTTCTCTTCTCGTAACCATGATATCGGCCATCGGTGGTGGTGCTGAAAACAATAAAACACACCCTGGGTAGAGCGGTGTCACGTGACTGTTCGTAGGACGTCGCAGCAGAATTGCACAACCCGAACCGACGCAAATCAACGGACCCAGAGTGCATTGTGGGGCTTCAAATGTTCATAATACTAACGAGACCAATCGGCCGTTGACCGTTTCTTTTTTGCTTCTGAATCTGAACGAGGATTTGACTCAAACAAACGCTAAACATGTTCATTCTGGAGAAGCAAAGGAATTGTTACACAGCAAACGGCGCTGTTGGCTCAGAATATTCACAATACCGAGATGAAAAAGCGATTTCTTCACAGAGGCTGTGAAGTGTTTAAGGATGAAGGAATAGGAGACTGCGAGACAAACCCATAACTGGTTGTGAATGAAAAGGGAAAAGGATGCAGCACGTATAGCAAGACGCTGGTTATTCGTGTGCTCCCGCTAACACCCACAGTGACCCCTGCGTGTTCCAGTAGAAATGTTACAATAAACCTTTCACTTCACCTACGCTTCTCTCAGCTGTGCACCTGTCTGGATACAAACAGATGTGATGGGCTCGAATAAGGCAGGTTAGAAAACAAAAACATTCACAACTGAAGGTCAACAAACAAAACAAATTCAAGACGCAATAAGTTAGAAAACATGTACAAAGCATTGAAATGACTTGGCTCCTTTTAAAACCCAACAAACGTGCAACAATAAAGAAATCCCTTCTCTCTTGACTTCAAACCAAAGAGGAAAACCGAAGTATACACACTGGTATGTACAGGTATTGGAATAAAAGAGTGATATTATATTTACAAACACACGTCAGTCCCTGATCGATTAAGGCCAAAGTGCTGGTGTCACTTTGTTGCACTTAAAGTTTTCCTCAGTTTGCAAAATGCAAAAGAAGCAGTAATACAGTGAGACCGGAGGCCTCTGCTCTATCAGACCTCGTCTCTCAAACATATAAAACTCCGCAAACTTCAGCTTTCAGAAACACAACCAGCCCGAACCTCGTCCTTTCCAGTACTTCCGTTATTTTTTTTTTTTACAAAAACAAGAGGTCTTATTTACATACAGTAGCGCTACAGTTAATATGTTGAGTTCCAGTTTCAGGACGGCCCTGTGGGACGTCTTGCTCTGCCCTCTCACCCTGAGAGTGTCCGTTCGGAGTCCACTGCCTGAGCGCGGATGACACGCGGGACGCCGGGCGCCGGCGGCGGCCTCCTCTCGTACGAGTGGAACCGCGGCGGCCGTGACGGGGGAGTCAGAGCATGCCGAAGCCCTCGCTGCCCTCGCTGATGGCCAGCTTCAGCATCTTGTGCAGTTCCTCGTAGGAGTCGTACGTGGGGAGGCACAGCTGGTTGAAGCTGGAGAGGAACAGCGGACGACGGGGAGTCAGCTGACGTTCGAACCTCGCCGCGACATTTGTAGATCAGGCTCACTTTACTTTTAACAAAAGCTACAATGACTGTCTTGTAAGTATCACCTTCCTCTTGTTTAAATCAATCTTTTGGCCATTTTAGGCCTCTACTGGAGAGACGAATAGGAGAGAGACGGATGCGGTGGAGGTCTCAGGACCAGGACACATCAAATTTGACTTGACAGAAACGTCTTTCACGTAAACCCGCCACTCACCAAGTGTGCGCCGTGGGCAAGGTGCTGTGTGTGGGGGCAGCGATGATCTGGAAGGAGGGGCAGAGGGTGTTGAACCCCCCGGGGGGCAGCTGGGAGGAGCCGGTGGTGAACTGCAGCAGACGCGCCAGCTCCTCCTGGGTGAAGCTGGAGACCACGGCCCAGAACCACTTCATCACCTAGAGAGGCAACAACGGCCGGACAATTTAAAATCGGGCCCCCGCCGCTGGGGAGGCAAACGGGAGGCGCATTTCCCCGCGACATACTTTCTCTCTGAAGTGCCACGATCCGCCGACGATCACGGCGTGCGCCTTGAAGTCCTGCACGTTTATGTCACCGGTGCCGCACATCAACAGCTGAGGAGATGAAAGAGGGAACACAATAAACATTTAGCCGGCAGTTGTTTCAGATATCAACCGGACTTTATTGCGATCCTCACACGTACCTCCAACTCATTCTCATCGAATATGGCCAGCAGGTTTTCTGGAACCAGTTCGTTCAGGCCTGCGATCGAGCGGGAAATTAATCACATGCACATCAGCGCAGAGGAACGTGGCCGACTGCAGCTGCGCTTGTATCCTCACCTTTCAGGAAGTGTTCCAACTCATCCCTCACCTGGCTGGCGAGCCTGTACTGCGCCAGCAGGTTGAGATAATGCATCTTGTTTTCATTGTTGACGGCGATCTGAGACCCCCCGGATATCAGCTCCACCACCTGCGAGGAGCACGATATGAACCGTCAGAGCTTTACGGCACACGCGTGGCAGGAAGAGGGCAGGAGGGGCAGGATGGCAGCAAACGTGTTGGGTTGTTGATGTCGTACACAATTCACCCAAAAGCAAACCACAGTTTGGAGGAACGCGCTGAATATGTACCTAATTAAAAGCAGCAGGTCGAACTGATGACCGGGTAAAGTTACACAGACAGCTAAGGACACCAAACTCCCCCTCGTCCACATTTATGTAGACTCGCAACTCTTCAACTGAGCCGCTTGCCAAAAGCGCAATATGGTTCCTTTTGTTTGGTTTATTGCTCCGATCTCCTGTTAAAAGTTACATCGGGAGAAGAAAGGGGGGGCGGTTCACTTCCAAAGCGTTGCCTCACCTTCTCCAGCTGTCCCGACTTGCTGTACTTCTCCTCGGCAAACACCAAATCCATTTCACTCACGTCATTGTTTAGGATGAAGCAGACCTTAGTTTTGTAGAACTCCTGGTCATCCGTCTCAAAGTACTGTGTGTGGAAAGTAAAACAAAACCACAGGAAAATGGCGTTTTTTTAAATAAACATCGCATTTCATCATCTTGATGGGAGGGAGAGGAAGATGATTGGGTCGGCTTCGCTCCTCGGCTTTGAAACCCGAACAAGTTGGATGAGCAGCGAAGCACATTGGCTCGTTTTCAATTAAATAAAATGACGCCAAGGAACAAATCAGGTTTATTGGCTCCGTGAGGAATGTTGAGAAGTTGATGAGACAAACCGGCTAAACAACCAAAACCTCCCAACGTCGGAGGAAAACGGATCTCCCGTGTGGCCGCACTCTTTTCCATACCTTGTAGTTCATCCTGAGGCCAATGATCTGGGCCAAGAAGGAGCGCGTGAAGCGCGCCCGGACCAGCTGCTTGTAGGCGCCGCCCACGGCTGACTCGTACAGGCACTTCCCTACGACGCGGCCCGCAAACTCGTACATCTTCACGCGCAGGTGCGGCGGGCGCTCGGCGTTCGGGTGCACCTGGGAGGAGGGAGACGCTCGTTCTGTCACGGGACAAGACGAAGGAGGCCTTGAGCGCGGGCGGCGGCGGCGGCGGGAGGAGGAGGACCAACTCACCAGGCCCTGGTTGTTGTCGCTGAAGCGGGTGAACAGTTGGTTGGAGGTGTCAAAGAGGGTCTTGCAGACCAGCTCAAACCACTCTCTGCGAGGACCCCCCCAGTCCAGGGCTGCAGAGAGAAAGGTGCGTCTGTAACTTTTATTCCCACGGACTCCTAACCCCCCCCTTCACCCCGCCCCCGTTTGGTTTTCAAGCGCTCGCTGCAACAGCAAGTAAAGTTCGACCGAGGCCACCGTGTGTTGGTTTACCTTCCTCATCCTGAAACGCGATCTCAAAGTTCTTACTCCAGTCTGACACCGAGAAGTTCTTTGTCGCCTTCATGGACTGAGGGGGCAGATAAAACGAGAGGCTGTTACGACCGCGGGGGGGGAGGGAGGGGGCATTTTTTAGGATGAGCAGATTTGCGGCGCCGCAGAGCAGCACTCACCGAGTCCAGGATGGTGTGTCGGGTGATTTTTAGGCAGGTCTTGGTGCGAGGTCTCTTGGAGTGGATGTGCCGGAGTTCGCGCTGAAAGAAGTTCACCTTGTCCTGGAACGTTTCGGAGCCACCTGAGGACGACACCGTCAGAAAAGGGACTGCTGCCGGTTTGCACAGGCAGACAGAATTGTACCGCGGGGACGAAACGAACCAATGTTCTTGTGCAGGAAGCGGATGAAGGTGGCGGCCATGATGTTCCGGTCTTTGCAGCTGAGTTCCACAGGAGGCTGTATCCCGTCGTCCACCACGAGAGTCAGGTACCTGTGGACCGGGTCCGGAGCGTGATAGCTGAACTGAAGAGGGAGAAGAAGGCCGCGGTGAGGTCGCCGCGTCACGGCGAAGGGGGCCGTTCTCCGACACAAACGTCTGCCTACCTTCGTTCCTGGACACACCCGAAAGGTGAAAAGGCGCCATGGGATGATTTTCAGGTAGAACTCCTTCACGGACAGTTGCTGTTTGGCGCAAAAGTCCAAGTCAGCATCATCTCACATCAACGCCGGTTGCCTTCTTACATCCTTATATTCACAAACTCAAAAACGTCAAAGAAGCAAAACCCCCCCCACGAATGAAGGATCACACGCTGGCCACGTACCTTTGGTGATATGTAACAGTAGACCTTTTTTGGTTTCTTGACCTTCTCGGGCTGCCCCTCCACAGGAGAGTCGTGCTCGTCCTCCTCTTCTCCCGTGGAGGGCCTCCTCTGGGGAGCCAGCAGAGCCGAGGCTGGCAACTGCCACGAAGAACTGTAGTTGCCACTGCTGTAAAGGTACGCCTCGAAGTAGATGCTTACGCCCGGAGTGGACACGGTCTTCTCCACACAGGCCTTCTCATTCTCTGTGGTGTGCAACGAGAGTACGGGTATTAGGCTTTGAAGAGAAGAAACAACAACACTGTATCAATCGCCAATGGTGGTGCACTTCTTCTGCGCGTGTTTTCCGCTCACCACTGAGAACAATAATGTCAAACTCCCCGTTGCTGAGCGGCTGGTCCTTGTAGGAGATGCGGGCCCTGAAACAACCCGTCTTCCTCAGAGTCAGTCTCAGCAGCACCTGACACTGCTGCTTGTTGAGGGTCACCGACTTACTGTAGTGCTCCTCCAGGCCGCCGTCGTCCGCCGTGCCGAGCTGCGAGAACAGGGAAGCTGGAATGAAGCTGCTGCTCTGCTGCAGTGTTTCACCTCCGTAGCCACAATCACAAGTGAAATCTGCAAATCACAGCGTGCTGGATAATGTAACAAAGGGGCCTCGATCCCTTACCGAGTGCAGATGGACGCTGTAGTTGGCTTCATCTGTGAGAGACGTGGAGTTACTGGTGGGGTTGGCATACTCGTCTCTGGGCTCAATCTTCAAGGTGTGCTGCTGGCCATTTGTTAGCACCAGGGTGGAGAAATGGTAGGCGATCTTGGTCTTGGAAGGGACAACTGTACCTAAAGGAGATTAGACACATACGTGTCAAATGAATAATCACACGCAGCAAAATACGGGCCGGATCTGAACACACACACGCACGTAATACCTGGCTGAAATATCTTGTAATACGGGCTGTAGGCCACATTGAGGCCACCGAGCTTGACGGCGACCTCATAGCGTCCGGCCTTGCGCACAGTGAAGGCCACTTTTACCACATTGGACTCTGGCTCTTGCAGGACCTCCTGTGTGACAGGGATGTCCAGAGCCAGTTCGATGTGAGTGATGTTGACCCTCAGCCCCACGGGCCGGTGGGCCGGGAAGGGCTGGCCGTTCTTATAGAAGAGCTGAGAAGCACAAAAGCGACCACACAAGTCAGTTTTCACACTTTTTAACACAGTTTTGTCGAGCATGTGTTCTTGACACTGAACAAGCCGCTTGATAGGAAAGTGAATTAGACCAGAACCCTTTATCTCTAAGTATCACCTGGACTCTGAAGCTCATGGTCTGGCCCACTTCCTGTGGTTCCGTCCAATCCCAAGACACCTTGCAGGAGCGCGGGTCGAGGTAGTTTCCCCGCACGTAGTCGTAGATGCTGCGGTCCCCTCGTCTGCCTGGATCCTCATTCTGTAAGAAGCTGACAACCCTCGCTGCGAGCTCACAGAGGAACTTGATGGTGAAGACAAACGCTATGATGGAAACAGTAATTCCACCTGTTCGCCAGAAAGGGGAAAGCACAGGAGGCGAGTTGTTGTTGGCCAGACGTTTTTTTACCATACTGTATTTTTGTTTGCTTCTGAAATACGTCGGTACGTCCCAAAAACCGAGCCGGGTATTCGAGTTTGACTGGTTTTATGGGTTAACCCGGGCTACAAAAACGCTGCTTAGTAAAGCAGGTAGAAGTGCCTGACAGAAAGAAGAAGTTACGCGCCAGCGATGCCTGGACCAGCCCGAAGAGACCACACCCCAAAGCGCTCACACTCGACTCACCAATCACGTAAAACATGAGGTCCCTTATCAAGAAGCACAGCGCCACAGCACAGCCGAATAGGAGCGCTCCAGCTGAAAAGACAATTAAAAATGAGGACAATACACACTTCCTGCTTCGAGTCGGATGGTTAATTGTCTATGGCTCGTCGTGGCGCAAGGGGTAGAGAGGGTGCGCTGGGAAGGTTGGTGGTTCGAGTCCCGGAAGTGTCCCTGAGCAAGACCCTAATTGCTTCCCGGCAAAAATAAAATAAATGATCTGTAATGTAATGGTTTGACTTTATTTTCTTATAAGGGTATTGTTTCAGGGACGGACTGTACTATGAGATGAAGCATTCAACTCCATAACAATACGAGCTAGATTCAAATGACATCCGCCTCTTCTTGCAACAACACCGATGGTACAATCCATTTATCTTTGATCAAAATGCATTTTAATAATGTGCAGCTGTGGAAAACTACCCAAACTAAAAACCAGTCGAAAACAGAAAAGGATCAGGAACTCACCGACGGTCCACTTCTCATTCAGACGCCTCACAGCAAGACTGTGCACCAGCCGGATCTCGTAGTCCTGGTCACGGCTCCCCCTGGAGTTCTGGAGGATCTTGATGCCGGCGGACAGCTTGATGTAGTCCTCGTAGTAATATCCCCAGCCAGCAAGAGACAGCTGCAGCCGACTGTCAAAGTGAGCCAGATCATCCAGATTCCTGCAACGCAAGTTCTTCAGCCTGCGGAGGACCAACAAAAGTGAAAGTGTTTTAAGCGGAGCATTGACAGGAAAGGCAGCAATTACTAATTACTAATATTAACTTTACGAGTACAGCCTTTACAAAGAGAACTCTAAAATGGTTCTGACCTACTCTGTCGACGAAGACTGCACACAACAGGTTGTCCCACACACCGGACCGTACAAGAGTAACCTCAATGTTGTCGGCTAAACTCGTCACATATGTCAAATGGGTGCAGCCAGAGAGTGGTATGCCTTATCTATGCTCCCCAAAGGGACTTCCCACAGCCGTGGGGCTCTAATAAATCTTCCGTTACTACACAGTGGGATTGACTGAATGTAACCCTGTCATAATTAGGTAATCAATAAAAGTTTAAAGTCCACTTGATAAAAAAACAAGAATGGAAAGGGGGCAATAGCTTGACCTTCACAAATGCGGCACAGTGTCTCTTTACAAATATCAAACCGTTTCCTGACAGTTGACCTTGAGGCAGCGTTTCAATAACGCAGCAGCTACTTATCATCACAGCTACTGGCTCCATCAATGCGTACTACACATCTGCATTGCTGCAGGCGCTCGCACAGACAGCCTGGGGAGAAGACTTTTTACTGCAGTGACCCTCTGAAACACTGCAGCCTCCGCAGCTCGGCGTCAGCAAACTCAGGCCGGCTACCAACGGAGAGGCTGCCCCCAAGTGGACGTACGTGAATATAGCTCGTGTTAACTGGCGTAAACATGACAACATAACAGGATCAAGACGCCAGATCTGCGCCGAGATAAATTACCTTATGACATGCCAGGGAGAAATAGTTTCCGAAAAACGAAAGCGAATCATGTTTAAGTTGAGCCGTCTCATTGCTTACGTATGGTAATAGTGCCCCAGGTTCTGGGAGCAGAGCCACTCCTGGAAGGCAAAGTCTCGGAGCAGCTGGATGTGGGCCTTTGCAATTTCCCTCCAGCGCTGCTGTTCCTTCACCACCTCTTCCAGACGGCTCAGTACACTCAGACTCAGTTCCTCCAGTGTCTGTACATCTGGATGACACATGAACAGGACATCAAAATCCCCAAATCACATGCAGGCCAACAAATCAGCTTGAGAAGTGCCCCAGGGCGGGCTTAAATACGGATCAAAGTCTGGTACAGCAAACGTTTAGGGCTGATTGTCTGTGCATGCCGCATGCATCTCATAACCGATTGACCACGGTCAAACATGATGCAACACAATCTTAAGAAACAAGCTTAAGCCCAGTCAGACGTGCAACTTAAACTGAGCATTTTCTGCAAACGCTCTGAAAGGTACGGGATGACTTCGTTGTTAGAGAAACCATCCTAACCAGAGAGTTTCAAGAAATGCTCAGAAACAGCAAACGTGTCCTTGTGCAGGTCACTGAAGCCACACGTGCATCTCCGGTGAAGGTGACTGTAGGACACTGACCTTCAAATAGGTGCCTGTATTGAGAGAGGCTATGTCCTTGGAGCCATTCCTCAATCTGACTTTCTTTTCCCTTCTTCCAGCGTACCTCCCAGAAGAAGATCCACGACACTGAGCAGAGGAGGAAGGTCAGGAAGAAGCGGCGGTCCATCAGACCATCTTTTAGCCTTCACTCAGACCCTCAGCGCTCAAAGAGAAACTGCCACTCAAGAGGAGGCAAGTCGAGTTTCCTACAGTAGGAGAGAAACTGCTTAGGCTGAAAACGACCAGGCTATAAAACGAAGAACAAAAAGGCTCAAGTTTCAACCGATGCATTTTTGAAGAAAAGGAACATTGCTCATAAGAAACTGCTTGGTTACAAAAATAACATGAATATTTAAGTGTCACCTTGGATAGGTGATGAGAGAATGGCATTACATGCAAGTGAATCATCAGCACTGAAATATGCATGAACATCTCCATAAAGCGCTGACCAGCCTGTTTAGCCGGGACAAACTATCAAAGCCACAGAAGCGTGGTCAGTTAAAGTGATCCAATCCAACAACAAGAGTCCAGGTGATGAAGGACGAACTACATCCGCTGCCACTGTTATAAACAACAAACAGCCCCAAAGCCAATTAATAACCTACAAAAAACCGTTAGCTTTAAGTAACTTTACCAGAAAGTTGCTTAAATGACGTTTTTTAAAACCCACAAAACACCAGGTGCGGAACATTAACCGGCTACTTGCAATCTGGTCACCTGCATCGCTGAGTAAAGCTGTATGCTGATGTTAACAACTGATGGCATCGTGCCCACAAACTGCTACATTAGCATTAACTAGCAAAACGAAACCACAATGCTAGCAGCTAGCCAAGTTAGCCAACAATGTCAGCGTAATTTCAGAAAGCCTGTCGCCAGCCAATGGCGGTTATCAAGATGCACGTCGCAACGTGTTCGCAAGACACCGCTTGAAATTACACAGCAGCACAAGCCAAAATTGCAGTTGTGCAAATATAGTTAATATATTATATTAAATACTACATTTACCTTCGTCTGTTGGGCATTAGCTTAGCAGCCGGAACATGCGCAGAAAACGTGTCGATTTTTGATTACGTCACACGTATCCGCATCTACACAGCACACGAGGAGAAAAGGAGCATATTCCACTCGGATCCGTGATCTCGGATATAAACCATGGTATGAACTATCTTTCTTGGTTACAACGCGACTGTTGTTACGTGAAAACAGTTAGACGCTATTGATTTAACTATTCATTTGGCGTAGAAGCTTTGTAGCAGTGAAGCCTTTTAACGAAGCTAGCTTGACTGTTAGCCGCTACGCTAACTTAACTCACCTAACGTTAGCGGCTAGCGTGCATACGTTACAACACCAGCTGACTAAAGGATTCGCCTGCAAATACCATTCAGACGAATCAATCCAAAGGCCGTGGTGACAATACTGATGGAATCTACAGGACATCGATCTGCTTAAAACGTCGCCACAGAGAATGTAGCCCAAGTTGGAGTTTCGGGGTTTAGCTAACGTTAATGAACTCCGTGTTTTGTTTGTTTCCGATTCTGTTAGTCCACGTTTACTGTAGGAGTCAACTTCCCATCCACCGTTAAATAAAAGCTTCAACAGTGTCAAGTTTACCATGGCTGTTTTTTTTCTCTCCTGTCATAAAACTAAAAGTACTGCTGGTTGGTAAATGTTAATCAATTTCTCTGTATTTACCTTGATCAATAAAGGCTAAGCAGAAAACCAAGAAGTTTGCTGCAATGAAGAGAATGATCAGTCTGAAAGATAACAGGATGTGAGTTTTCATAATTGCTCTGTTTTTGTCTGTAAAACAGCTAAGTTTAACCACTATTTGTAAACTCAGTTAATCTTATGAATCCACCTATGCATCTCATACCAATTACCAACTAAATATGAAATGATTGCAGTGTATAAGTCTGTGCAAGCTGTATAACGCCATGTTTACTTTATAGAAAAGAGAAGGACCGGGCCAAAGCCAAAGAGAAAAAGAAGAAGGATCCCGCGGCGCTTAAGGAGAGAGAAGTGTACGTCTTTGACAGTTTGAAAGACACGATGGAGAACATGAGGGTGGATGGCTGCTTGATTTCTTTTCTTATTTGTCTGGCAACTTTTCCTGCAGGACAAAGTACCCATCGTGCCTGTTCTTCCAGTACAACACTCAGCTCGGTCCACCGTACCACGTTCTAGTAGACACCAATTTCATCAACTTCTCCATCAAGGCAAAACTGGACATTGTTCAGTCTATGATGGACTGCCTGTACGCAAAATGTAAGCACTGTGGTCAAGGAGCAAATAACAATGAGCTTTATATTGAAGTGTGTGTGTGTGTGTATAATGAGTCGTGGTAATTCACTTCTCATCCAATCCAGGTGTCCCATGTATCACAGACTGTGTGATGGCTGAGATTGAAAAGCTTGGAATGAAGTACAGAGTCGCGCTCAGGTACAAGCTGCTGGGAATAAAGCTGCACTTGGGGTATGACCTCATGAATGATTGTAGTTACCGTATAATGACACCATCTGCTTTGTTCTTCCAGGATAGCCAAGGATCCAAGGTTTGAACGGTTGCCGTGCACACACAAGGGGACGTATGCCGATGACTGTTTAGTCCAAAGAGTAACGCAGGTAAAATACTCTAATGTTCAGTTGCCGCTATCGTGGTTTTAGCGACCTGAGATCTTCACGTTGCAATAATGGTCTCTGAAAATGTTGCGTTATTATTACTTTAACTAACTTTTCTCATTCTTATTCTTTTCACAATAACTTAGTGTAATGAGAAAAGGATATAAACCTGATGAAAGAATAGCATCTAACTGAAGTATGTGAAAGGACTGAATAATGTTTTTCGTGGCACTGCAGCATATTTAATAACTGCCAAATGGAAAAAGCAGCGTTGAGCTTTTAAAATAATGTCAAACAACTGGATTACGTCATTTCGTTTCAATACCATGGATGAATAAATACCACAATATGTGGAGTATCTCTAAATATATGTCACGATGCGCATTGAGGTTCATTAATACACCCTACACTTATATCCACAGCACAAGTGTTACATCCTGGCCACTGTGGACAGAGATCTGAAGAGAAGAGTCAGGAAGATCCCCGGCGTACCCATCATGTACATCTCAAGCCACAGGTAACGCTATTCCCACTTTAGCTTTACGTACATACCGTATTTAAATGAAGGCTTTTTTTGGGTAACATTTTTATTCTGGACTGCGCACCAGCTTCATCAAAACCACTTCTGCTTTTTGTTTTTTTTCATAAAGGTACAATATTGAACGGATGCCTGACGACTATGGTGCACCAAGGGTTTAACATTTCTGCAGCTGAGCTCAACCTGTAAATAGACAGTTTCCTGTTTAATATGACTTTCCTTTTATGTCCATCAAACACAGTGTGAGGTTTGATTTGGTGAGGATGGGCTGTGTTTGATCTAACAGCAAATTATCCCCTTTTTCTGAAACTTTTTGTTACGACAATAAATCAAAGGTTACAATGTCTTTGGTCTCCAGTTTGCAAACGTTTTCTTTTTTGTTCCAAAAAATGTCTTGAAAGAAAAGTTATTTGTTATGTGAGAAAATGTCATGAAATTAATTCAAAAATATACGCTAAAAAGAACGAATATATTAGGTTGAAAAGTACATTTTATAATACTAATTATAAACTATATTTTTTTTAGGTCAAAACATGTTGCATACGTATGTAAGCCTGTATAGATCTGCTAAAAACAAGTGTGTGAATATGCTAATGCTTTTATAACATGACATGATGTCAAATTAAATGCAGTTCTCAAAACAAACTGCAGGCAGCTCAGAAAATAACTGCAAAGTGATTGAAAGCAGGAAGACGTTGCTCTACAAAGATCTTTTTTTGCACATATATTTTTGGCACAAGACCTTTCTGAACAGAGTGACACTTCCGGCACTGGGCTTGATCAGCATTTTTATTTGACAATCAATTAAATATAGATCTAAGTGGATCAATAAAAAAAAGGCTTAAAAAAATATATTTGAACTGGTCATTCCAGTAGACCCATAGTCCGAACAGAAGTAGTGTCTGGGGGTGAAAGTTCATCTGGTGGCCTTGTCCTCTAGATGTGGAGCTCAACAGCAGTAGTTCGGTCCCGTTCTCTCCTCGTTCACGCCACACGACTTTAACCCTGATTTTCTGGTTGGAGAGCATTTTTGCAGCTCGGAGAAACAATGCTCCAGTTGAGAATTGCAAGATCAAATATCACATGATACATCTTCTCGGCCTTCCCGCATTTGGAGTCCCGAGAACGGACCAATCGGATCCGGTTTGTCAAAACCCCAGATCAGACGCAATTGTGCCCGAGCACCATGTGTGGACTGCCGAAGGCGGAGCCGAGTCTTGAGACTCTCAATTCCTGTTCTTAGCGACCGCCTCAAGGGGATTGTGAAAATACAAACAAGTCAAAGCATTTCTCCCCCCTTACAGAAGAAGGAACGTTTAAACACCAGTTTAGAGTCTCTGAAATGTGCTGTGTACCTGTAACGTGTCCACCAATTGGAAACCACCTCACGGTTCGGTAACCCTAACCCCCGCTGCCCACCCGGCCACTAGACTCCTACAAGTTCGTACTCATAGCACTGTTTCTGACCCTGTCCGCCTTGTTTAAACTCAGCTGGCTGTCTGTCAGCGTTGGATCGACCCTGCGATACTGCGACCTGGGTGGGGCCATGTTGGTGAGCTCGTGCTCCTCAGCAAACCGGAGCATCTCGTTGTTCTTGCGGAGCCTCATCTCTTTGACGACGCGCTTGCCGATGAGGTAAATCATCTCGCAGAAGCACATCAAGATGCACACCGCGCTGGAAACGACCATGAACAACATGAAGATCTTCTTCTCCGTGGGGCGGCTGATGAAGCAGTCCACGGTGTTGGGGCACGGTTCCAGCGAACACTTGGATAGCCTGCAAGAAAACGGCACAGAACAATGGAGATTCGAGGTAATTGGTGTGGATTCTCACTCTAACGCCCGTTCTGAGGATGATTCAATAGAGCGCAGAGTCAAAAGGTATCAGCGTTACCTGGGCAAGTCATATCCGTGGTATATCCGGTACAGAATGTACAGAAAGGACATGTCGAATCCAGCCTTCAAGACCAAGCTCAGCAGGTAGGTCCACCACAGGCCCCCTCTCTTCTTGCCGGGGTTGGCGTACAGGTGGGAGCCGTGGTGCTGCTCCTCGTATTTCTTGTCCTTTCCTTCGCGGAATTTGACATGAGCCATCACCATCAGGGACGGGCACGTGACAAAGATCAGCTGCAGCGCCCACAGGCGGATGTGGGAGATGGGGAAGATGTGGTCATAGCAGATGTTGGTGCAGCCGGGCTGCAACCAGAGCGGAGGATGTGTTCACCAGACAACAATTGAAAATAAGAAAGGACAAAGTTGATGCAGCTTAGGCCGATATATATTTACTCTTAGTCTTGTGTGTGCTAAAGTTCTGTATTAAAAAAAACTGACATAATTTAAGGTAATGGTAGACATTGTAGTTACTGGTTTAAAAAAAAAACCTACCTGCCGCGTGTTACACACAAAGTCTTTGTTTTCGTCGCCCCAAACCTTCTGCGCTGCCACCACAAACACCATGACACGGAACACAAACACCATGGAAAGCCAAATCCTCCCGAACGCAGTGGAGTATTTGTTGACTCCGCTCAACAAGCTCTCAAGTCCTGACCAGTTCATAGCTGCTGCTCCTGCACGGGGGCCTAGGACACACACACACACACACACACACACGTGTATGAATAAAGGCTTACGTTTCCACATTTGGTCAAAACTCATCAGAGCTGAATTACTTCCAACAATAACATGAACATGTGGAATTGCACTGTGACAGTTTTATCTCATGGCTGTGGCTGTTTTCTGTATTGGTGCAAAAAAACATTTCTTTATTTATTTTATTGAGGTCCATGCTTTAGTAGCCATAACGATGTAACAAACACTTTTATTTGAACAAGCTTAGCCTCCTTTTCTATGCAACCCTTATCCTGTGTCCTTATCCATGTGCTAACGAGGAGTGGTGTCAATCTGCTCATCTACATTGTAGCAAGAAAGCAGCTTTTTGAAGCTACATTTGCTTTAATTTTAGCTTCATGCAAAGTCTGAACATGACCCAACTATGTTCTTTACGACATGTCAACGAACCAGTTTGAGGAGTTGGGTGTGTGCACACACAGTTGGTTTCAGAATGTATCTTAGTCTATTCAATCCGTTTTTTCATAGTAACATGGTGTTACTGGTGTTAATTGAACCGATTTGTCTTATTCAATTGTGTGATATATTTAATCTTTTGCCTTTCTATTATAATGTAATATATGGTTACGTCCATTAACTTAGTAAATATGTGTATTTATCTGTAAAGTAAGTATTTTGCCACATGCACTTCCTGTTTGCTCACGTTACCCACTAAAGCTCCGATCAAGTTTAATTAATGCATAGAACATATTTTACTTATACATATGTTTCCCATTTAGTTTTCATTGAAGTCCCAGGACATTGCTGGTCGAGAAGATAAATGACGTCCAGATGGGATTTAAAACGTACCCCTTGGACCAGCATGGCTCTTGACGCAGTGAAGGATCACAAACTTCTTGGAAATTAGTAAAATATTTAGATTCCACCAAACAGAAGTGGTTGAACGCGGAGGACTCTGGATTAACTCCCAATAGTTTCTTTGCAGCAGTGAGACTTGTCCAGCGAGTGCCACACATACTGTTGTAATCATGACGAAGGCCTTTCAGATTCAACATTAATATTGTTTCTTTCTTTGACCCGCGTGAGGCAGTGGCTGTTTACCACATACGACATGCGTAGATCTTCGTTGTAGAGTAAATCATGCAAAATGTTGTAAATATAGGAAGGCCTTAAGTCTACCATTAAAAGCCCAACTCCATGGTTTGCTGTTTATACAGTAAATCGCTTGATATACGTCATCTTGTGTGTGTGAGTGGAAATCTTTAACCAAGGGCCAAATGTTCCAACGGCTACAGCTTACATAAAAAAAACACATTTTCTTAATACCGGTGGCGCAACATCTTGTGTGTCTTAGTCATAGCTCAAGGATTTGTTCCTGTCGTTGTGTCTCGTGGATGTAAATTACCACAAAGTTTTCCGCATATGTTGGGATGAACTATTAAATAAGGAAATGGACACAACTGTAACTAAGTCTGTGTTCAGTTTAAACACCGCTGGCTACAGCTTTTTGTTTACTGCTCCCTCCTCACAACCAGCATCTGATACAAAGTTAATGAAAACCAAACAAAAAGAACCTTACCTAGTGCTGAAGCCAAGTAGGAAATCCAAATCCAAGCAGGATGACACCAGCAGGAGAAGCTTGATAAACAGCTTTGGAGTTAAATGTAGTTCAGTGAAAACTAGTTTAAACTATTCCTCTCCGTGTCCTCCCTCGCCCTCCCCTCAAAAATTCTACCAAACCAGATTCAGCAGCTGCTACGTCACCACCCAGACACACACACACACACACACACCCACACACCCCCACCCCCACACACACACAGACTTGACATGCCGTGTCTTTTCAGTTTTCGTGATACTGGGAGGGTCCTCTGCCTGTGAGCCATGTAACCTGACACCTTATCAATAGGTAGAGGAACATGCACTTTATTGAGCAGGGTGAATAAAAACACATCCATACCCCCCCAAAAAGAATGCCTGTGTGTATGTGTGTGTCTGTGTGAGTGTGTAGGAAAATAAGAGAGGGAGGAAGCCGCCACACCCTTTGGATACAGAAAGCAGATGTGTTTTTACAGTGAGAAATGACTTCAAATGGAAACAGACTTAGAACTAAATACGATTGCTTTTAAACGTAGTGTAACTCGTAACTATTAACTGGCTTAGAGTGAAATACTCTGATCAGGTGCGTGACAACAAGGGCCGGCTTTATTGCCCTCAAATTAAAACCCCGATGCGTTCTCGGGAGAGACACATTTGCAGAGATTCGTCTGAGAGAGTTATAGACATCTGAGGAAATCAAGAGTTAGGTTTAACCAAATGGCAATTTGACGCTGGACTTCATTTAGAACGTCTCAGAAAAGGCTGTCATGCCAGCAGGATAAAGGTTTAAGGTCAAGTTGTAAATGTAGTAGAGCACGGCTGCAACGCCCATAAGATGACAGAAAACATCAAACTTTCACTTTGTTTTTTAATTTTTCAAAAGTCTATTTAGTGTGTCATTATTATCATTAAGTGCTCGTCTTAGTGGGTTAACTTTGTGCAAACAGTAGATGGCAGCAATGACTTCAACATCTGCTTGAAAGTTACAGTTTGCTTCCTTGCAGCTTTATTTCATCTTGCAGTAACAGTATATACAATTAACAGGATTCAAACAGTTAGAATGTTCAGGTTTGGTTGGGATTAATATAAAGTGACACAGGAGAGACAATAGCAATCCATTTAATTGACTGCTTATTCATTACTGCTTGCCTTAACAAACCCAACCTCAACCTCTTTTCTGATGCAAATAAAAAAGCCCTTTTGTTCATTTTAGTAAACCAATAATTTGAAGAAAGAATTTTCCTTTAGAATCCGTCAAGTAGAAAGAGACTAACTAAATAATACCGGAAGTAGGTTAACAAAGTAAAATATCCGATTTCTGCCAAACGACACAGCGTGTATTTTTCAATCAACTGTATTGTTGATAGCTTACAACCGGAAGTAGTATTTCGCGACACGGCTAGCTTGACATTTCTGATGACCATGTCTCCTTGGCAGATTCGTTTCCGCCAGTAGGAACGTCTGGATTTCCCGTGAAGCAACTGCGTTTTGTAAGTAACCATATCAGCCGTTATTCCGGGGTAACCAATGGAAGTTATTTGGGTTAAGGAGACCATCCCCCCCCCCCCCCGCAGTCATTAGCATGTACACTGACATATGTTAGCTACATTAGCCTTCGCCTGCAAGTGTTAGCTTCCTATTTTATTGTCGCGGTTGACCCGCTATTGAGCCTCTAATATGGCCCTACGGCGTGTGGGGTAGTTTTACTCACATGGACTTAAACGGGGGGCACCTAACAACCGTGTGTGGTATGTAGTGGCACTAACTACCCTCTGGTAACGTTAGCTAGCTGGCTGTCATTTAACGCGAGAGCCTCGTTGACGGTCACATCCGTTGTGGTCGTTAGGGGCGTAAATGAATAGCTAGCAACGCTTCGCCGCCAGCGGCACGCTGTCATGTGAGCTGGTTGTTATTTGCGCTCGGTGGTTAGTTTCAGTCCGCCTTCGTGAGTCGACAAACACGTTACAGCCGACACGACCGTCCCGCTGGGACTGAAAAAGGGACGTTTTAATGGACCATTAACACCTCCTCTGTGTCACGTCCAGGTTAGCAGCACGCTAGCGGGCCGCTGTCAAGCCTGGACACAGAAAGAAGGAAAACAAAAAAAAAAAAAACAGAAAATTAAAAAAAAAAAAGCAGCATCATCATCAATGGTGTGTCTACATCCCGGAGCCGACACATCGTCCTGTGCACGCTCGATGATCCATCTCCTCAGCTCTCAGCACAGTGAGTGTGTGTCCTCTGCGCTGCCCACAGCCTGTTGGCCTCACGTCTCCCCAGCAACGCATTGTCATTGTCTCTCCCCCTCCCTCTCCCTCTCCCTCTCTCTCTCCCCCCGTCTCCCTGTCCCTCCCCAGGCTGCACATGTATGGCGTTTGCGAGGCTCGGAGGGGAGTTTTGCCAAGCCCAGCACCTGCTGCTCATCGTGGACAAGTGAAGAGGAGACACCAGCTTGGCGCAAACACTGCCGTCGACGTGCACAGGTGTGTAGTATGATGGCTGCTGGTTTTCTTTATTACGCGATAAAGAGGTTCTCTGTGTCAGCGGAGATCATGATGTGACTTCATGTTCATATATGTAGCTGGTTTTATTCAAGTTATCCGAAGAGACAGGTTGGTGGTTATCAGAGCGTATTCACGCTCGGGTAAAACATCTCATTAGGAAAAGGTCTCTAATGCAAAAAGATCATATTCGTAGCAAAGTAACAAAACAAAAAGCAATATGGAAAGGGAACCTTAATGGCCGTCTCCATGTCCTCGTAGGTCCTTACTGCCATCCGGTTCAATCCATATGAAGACAAGCCAACCTTCAGCCTGTCATCTGTCCCGGGGAGTGGAAGAGGCTTCGGGTTTAACCCAGGAGTTTCCTCACAGCTCTTCTCCTTTTCTGCTTTTCCTTTCCTCTCCTCCCCTGAGTCGGCCACGGCTTCTCTGAATGGGTTAGCCGATTGGAAAGAAAGGAAGGAAGGAAGGACTCATCTTTTTTCTGTTATCATTTTTTTCTTCTTCCTGGATTTTGGTCGTCCGCTCCAATCTTTTTGATTCCAATCTGCTACAATTAAATATTTATTTTTGAATAAAGCCAATTTTTATTTATTTCCTCATTGCCAAGAAAAGTGTAAACCACCATCATATTTCTATGCAATCGAATCTGCTTTGTTTGAATTTCTTTTAATAGACCACATTTTGTCATCGAATTGACTAGCAACAGTTTTTTGTCATACTTAGTAAAATAGTAGTCATACAGATCCATTAGTTAGTGAAATTACTTTGACATTTTTGGCTTTGTGAACAGTTATTTTTTTTTCTTTTATCAGTGTATTTTATTTAGCTTATTTACATTTTAGACCATCACTTTGATTTGTTTGAGGACCCTGTCACATACCTTATTTTTTTATCTGGCCCATTATATGCAAAGAACTTTTCTCACGTTTCTTTTTGTGTAAATAAACCTTTTGAGGGTCTAAAAATGAACCGACCGGCTCCGGTGGAGATCTCTCATGACTGCCTGAGATTTCTCATTACGCACAACCCCACCAATGCACAACTCGGGAGGTTTATAGAGGTAGCGCACCTTTGTAATGACTCATGCATATCCATCATTCATTTTCTTTCAGTAACCGAGGAAGCCACGGTGACATGCTGTGTTTAAAGTGTGTTTTGATGTGCAGGATCTGAAGGCGTATGGTGTGAACACCCTGGTGAGAGTGTGTGCCGCCACATACGACAAGACACCAGTGGAGCAAGAAGGTATCCAAGTCGTGGTGAGTGACATTGATACGCAGCCTTTGAAGCAAAGACAAATCCAACATGGTGATGTTGTACAATAGTAGCGGATACATAAAGCCCCCTTTTTGCCATCCCACCTCTAAAATACAGACTACCCGATCAGAGCAAAGTATCAGTCAGCTGTGGTCAGAGTCCGACTCTGGTGTTTAGAAGGAGAAATGCGATTCTTAAACGCTGATGTTTCTTCATAACTGTGAAAAAAATGCTCCCATTTGAAAGCCTGTTGCAAACAAATGAGAACGAAAGATGAGCGATAATAACCACTTGATTTCCAGGATTGGCCGTTTGACGATGGCTCCGCCCCCCCAGAACAGGTGGTCGATGATTGGCTGAACCTGCTGCAGACAAAGTTTCGGGAGGAACCGGGTAGCTGTGTGGCTGTGCACTGCGTGGCTGGATTAGGAAGGTCAGTATGTTCATCAGGTTGCTGACATGTATTCATATCCACCCAAGTCTGTTAGTTCATGAAATATCCATAAAGCTTGTTCTTTAAACCTGGCATGCATTGTTGTAGAAGTGTTGCATGGTCAAAAGCTAAAAACAGTGGCCACCGCTTTGCCACAAGGAACCAAGGTCAAAGTTAGGCAGTAACCCGATAAAAAGGAGCGTCGGCACAAGCTGAGTCTAAATAATCTGGTTTGAGCTTCACACGGAGCCGTAGCGTCACCGTCCAAACAGTCGGCTGTAGGTTTAGTTTTCTTTGTCGTCCGTCCCGTAGAGCTCCGGTGTTGGTGGCCCTGGCGCTCATCGAGAGCGGGATGAAATACGAAGACGCCGTGCACTTCATAAGGCTGTGAGTACCGTCTTAACTCGTGCCTCATTCAGCGGCATCATTGCAAAGCAAAGCACTTTTTTTTTTTCTTCAATGAAATAAACTCTTTCTCTCCTCCCGATGTCAGGAAGCGGCGCGGAGCCTTCAACTCCAAGCAGCTGCTGTACCTGGAGAGCTACAAACCCAAACTGTGTCTGCGCTCCAAGGATGCCAACGGACAGAGCTGCTCCGTACAGTAGGAACCTTCGTAGGAGTCTCGCCATTTGATGTAGACCTGGAAAAGTCTGCATTTACTGAAAATAAATGTTTTGGTGACAAACAAGGGCCATTAAATCCAATCAACACACGTGCAAACTTTTGCCGTTTTTAAAAAGTTGTTTTTTTTTGAGGGAGGAAAAGAGTGACGAGATGACGTGATCTTTGCAATAAAACATCTTTGATGTGACGTGCCGAGCCAATCAGCGTTGAGATGTCTCCATTTCCCCTCCCAACTTTTCAACCGTTCACTCTAATTATAGGCGGCGTGCGTATACTAGATTATCCCACATTGGCTCACTTTTGGGGTTACACTCTGAAATGTCCCGGTGCCCCCTCCAATCCCCTCTGCAACCGCCCCAGTTGTCACCTTTTTCACCCCATATGAGTTTGCAGGTATGAATCAAAGGACTACATATATTTAGAAGAATTCTAGGGACCTGGTGTCATGTTTCAGAAAATCTTTTAAAAAAACATATGCAGATAACTTTAAATGAAAAATACTTTTTAATTTCCTCACCTTTAGTGTGCAGCAAGACTCCCACGAATACGTAGCCCATTAAAGTGAATCATTTAATTAGAGCTGTTAATAACTAATCACACTTCAATGTTCTACAAACCGTCACCAACAAGACTTTTCATTTTACCTCGAGGGTTGTGTGCGAGTTCATTAACGGATGTAGAAACAGTTTTGTCGTCGTAACGCCATTAAATCCAGCTCCCTTTTACCTGAATTTGTGTGAGTAAATGTTTTATTTTAAGAACTCAAGGTAACGCGTGGTGAGTGGTAGATGTGTAAACCCAAATGTTATTTCATTGGTGACGACTTCTGATTTAAATTCCCTCGTGACGTTTGGGATCTGACATCACGGAACGTCTGTAGAGTCACGCAGGTCCGCTGCTAGATATTCGTTAAACGCTCCGAGTTACCAACACAGAATTAAATGTGCTTTTAGAGGCCGGCTGCTTTTAATCAATCCGCACAGCGGTTCAGGCCGATGCTGTACGTCCTGTGTCAGAGTCGTGGGCCGCCTGCTGCTCCAGAACAAACCGGCGTGGCTGTAAATGTTTGACGCTGAAGGGAAGGCAACGCTTTAAGGTTTTTGGTAGATTGTCCTGATGGAAAACATCAACGTGGCCTCACAGGCTCATTGACTCCAGCATACTGTGTGTTTTATCAGCACTAGACAACATTGAGTGGTATTTTGTTCTTGTTACTAGGCTCTAAACACATGAGCATTTACTATTTAAGATGGATGAAAGTCTTTTTAAATTGTCTTTAAAAATAAGTGATACAAACATGAAAGTCTTTTTGATTCTCTGGGTTTTCATCACAGGAACAAACAGGACAATCTGCTGAAAACGTTCCGAGTTCCTTTTAACGAAAAGCCACAGAACGGCGCCACTGAAGCCTGCTGTTTGGTCCTTGTGATGTTATTCTTTCTCAATAGCTTTTCTTTTCCTTCCCTGTACACTTTAAACTATTTGTATTTATTCATTGATCCCACTATGTGTGTGGTTATTTTTTGTGTGTGTTAAATGTGTGTCTGCTAGGAAAAAATAAATCTAGTAATGTTGGAAAAATAAAAGTTCCTAGTCACGTACTTGTTGCGGAACGTGTTTAATCCCCCTCATTTTAGTCTGTTTGTTTAGAGAACGAGTTGGCACACTTTATTTTACAAACTCTGCAACTATTGCCAATTAATAGCCACAAAACGACTGATGTCGCTCCGATCTCTCCCACATCAAGACGTGTATCTGACGAGAGGTGGACGACAGTGAAGGAGAAGAATACAACCATTATGCCAGCGGAAACAAAGGGCCACGGGACGGTGACTGCAGCTGTAACGTGGAAGCTTCCCAACGTGACGCTGAGCCCGACCCACCCTCAGTGAACCGTGTGTGTGTGTGTGTGTGTGTGTGTGTGTGTGTGTGTGGCAGGGAGAGATTGCCTCTGGCTCTGCTGTGTGAACGTCGGAGCGCAGTGACAGCAGACAAATTGAGGGGTGATGGGTTTTATTGACTGACCCGACTGCAACTGAATGAACTAACCTTCAACTACAGAGCCACAGTGGATGAACGCACACCTCCGGTTCTTACAACACATGCGAGGAATAGATTACGTTACTTTTTACATTCAGGTTCATAGAAAGAGAATTTCACTTAACACCTTGCAAGCAGGTTCTCAGGACAACATTAAAGCAGTGAACTGAGAGGACAAATACTAATATTTAGGTGGAGTTCGTGGTCCAAGGCACGTTGTGAATTCCCCTCATTTATTCATTCATGTTTGGTTATTAGTCCTCGCTGTTTTTCATAATTCCTCCGGAGGCAGTCAGTATTTTGGTTTAGTCTATTTCAAAGGCGTCCTCGTTCCGCGGAGCGCTTGCGGCCCTCGTGGACAGCGGAGGGCGCTGCCGTCCTTTGAAGTAGTGAACTCTGGGATTGAGTTATTCACAGCTCGTTTCAAAAGTAACAAATAATTCGTCTCGGATCTTTGAATTTTATTTCTGTTCACAAGTTAAGAATACAAGTCAATGAGTCCAACTGTGCAGAGCGTTGGGACAAAGTTACTACTATACTGCAATGTAACGCTGTTATCATGGTTGCTATGTCACACACACACACACACACACACACACACACAGGTTTATAACGTCCTTGGCAGCAGAGGACAGCTCTGTGATAATCTGCTGAATATATGACAGCTGAACATCTCTAAGCTCGCTGTAAACTACGCGGCACAGTGTGTGTGTGTGTGTGTGTGTGTTTAACTCTTTTTTAACATTAAACATTTTTTTTTATTACAGACGGTCATGAAGACAAAAGCTAAAATGAATAGAAATGCATAAGTGTTGTGTATTAAAGACACGCGCAAATCAATATGTGGTGTTGCTTAATACAACCCTCACGCGTCATAACATTCTAAAAACAGATCCTTATTAAGAGGGTGCTACAATCCTTTGAGCACTGAACTGTCTGTTAGAATCTCCACAGTAATATCGATTTTTATATTGGTGATTGTTCAACCAACAATTACTTTTGTGACTGAACCTGGAGGCTATGTATCTTGAGGAGGAGGAGGTGACCGGGAGCAGATGGGAGGGATCACATGGACGCTGACCCAGTTCCCCCCCCCCCCCCCCCCCACGGAGAACCGGAGGACCTCCCGCTGAGCGACCAAAGGATAAAAAAATGAAACTACGATAGTGTCTCCAGTTTCCTCAGACGCAGCGTGCGTGTGTGTGCGTGTGCGTGTGCGTGAGAGAGGGAGGAAGAGGGAGGAAGAGGGAGGGGTTGAACGTAGAAAGTGGGGAAGGAGTTTCTGCTGTGTGAGCATCTGGACATCTGGCAGCACAGAGGAGAAGAAGAAGAAGAATTTGGATGTATGGAAAAGTTCTTCATATCAGAGGAAAAGACCGAAAAAGCTCCGTAGAAGAAGAGTGGAGGACTCCGCGCCCTCAGCGAGGAGAAGTTAACGTTAAGTTCTATTTCCTAACGGGACGGAGAGCCGAGCAGCAGGAATGTTACCGGTAAGTTTCTACTGGTGGAATGTAGAACACGTTTATTGTTTTGTATTTGATACGAAATGTATCGTAAACGCAATCACTGCTGGAAGACGTCGAAGCTAGCTAACGTCAATGTTACACTTATTAGAAAGGGCTCTAAGCTAACTAACGTTACGTTGAGCTAAACGGCAAGCCGTTGCTTTATGCCATTTTGTGCATAATTAGGACGGTCTATACACTTTCTCCTGCTACAATAATAGAAAAAAATAGATAGATAGTTATTTTTGTATAACATGAAAGTAGGGCGCGTGAAACTTCCTCTGGATGAAAGGTTGTAGACTCATGTTACATGAGTCGAAGCGAGAAGCTTCGAGGTTAATGTGTATTAAAGTACTTGAAAAGCAGAAGTTTCAACAGCATTAAAACACATAAATACATATGCAGAGCCTGAGCGAGGACAACGTCCCAATTTTAAACGGGTCAAACTGGAAGTTGTGCGCTGTGCTTTCAAGTGCCAACTTAATTTACACAAGGTTTAATAATTAAGTTAGTTAAGTGTTGGAGTTTTGAGGCTACCTTCAATGGATAATGGAAGGTTTAACTCCTATATACTTATTGTTTCTGGTAATAAATAAATGCATTTGTGGTCTTCATTTTTGTTGCATCATTCCAGAGATAAACAAAATATCACATTTATCAATGATGCTTTTATTTTGAAGGTTACAACCGGAAGTCATACTCTTTCTTTGTCAGACTTCAGGCTATGAAGGGAGCGTGTTGTGTGTGTCTATACAGTACGTGCAGTGCAATTACTATTCCAAAAGAGTTTTGAACATTTTGATATTTAGGATTAGAGTGAAATAATTGCATATAGACAATATGGATGGACGGAAATGCATTCATACACTACTTCAGCCCGAAGGCTCGGAAACAATATTGAAGGGGCGTTTATTGGAAAATTCTCTGAGCATCTCACAATATCTACCAGAAAACCAATTGTTAAAATTAGAAACCATCAATATTCCTGCTTCCATACTGTCCATCTCAATCTTCATACCCCCCCCCCCCCCTCTCTCTCTCACACACACACACACACACACACACACACACACCCTGAACACTAGATTGCTCTGTGGCTCTGTTGGGCTGCTGTCAGCTGCGGACAATACACTGAAGATATAGAGATGTGTTTACAGAGAGAGAGACAGAGAACCCTTCTGATCTGTTCTTCATGGCTCGGACCTTCTTTTCATCCTTTCTTTTTAAAGTTCACGGCGTTTTAGCTTCCACCGTCCGCAGTGCGCTATAGCTTTTGGGGCATTTCCCTGACTTCCCTCGTCAAAGTAAAGCTGCTGTCTACGAGTTCACTTCATTATTCAGACTGTTGTGGGAAACTGTATTGGCTCCTGGAGCAGTTCTCCGTATACGACTCTCTCACCTCAGCTTTGGCCTTCACTTCTGCAGCTCGCCTGGTGGACACAGAAAATATGAAGCAGAGCGTGCTGTCATCTCGCAACTTCTTCTAAAATGTTATCAGCCAACACACACGTAAGCGTGTTGTTTATTTGCAGGGTGTTAATACACTCATCCTGTGGGTAGAAGTATGATTCTAATAATGATATGATGTATGTAAATAGATGATCTACCTGCATTTAGCTGCGTCTCACTGGTGTATGTATTCCACATACTGTTTCTATTTCAACATAGTCATCCCTCAAATTTATTTGTGTGTGTGTGTGTGTTGACCGCTGTCCTGTGACTACTTGACATGAATAACAGTTTTATTCTAACTTTTTTCCTTTAATCACCAATGAACCGATAGTCAGAGGCCAAAACAGTACGATGTACTGTACACGTCTTCTGGAGTGTACGGGTTGTTTCCTTCTCAATGAGCTGGAAGCTCGTGCTTCCCCGGCCTCATGCGGTTCCTATGGAGACGGCGCTGTGTGTGTCTGCGTGTGGGCGGGTGTCTGAAACGCGAATCCCCTCCAGCTGTCACCGCGTTCCGCTGTGTTTCGCTCACACACGACCAACAACTCCTCGTTTTCTTCATAAAACTTCTAAACGTCTTTGAACGCGCTCCCTCCTTTCCCCACTTTCGCTCTGCCAGTCAGAGACGATCTGGTTTGTGATGTTGCAGATTTAAGGAGCACGTTCACAGTTTATTTCCTAAAGCGTAATGCAACATAGACTCTTATTAGCCGGTGCTACTTGAAGCCGCCTCACTGGAAACACAGCGTGATGGAGCTATTTTCTCCCCGGTGTGTAATACTTTCCTAATTCTGTTTCACCAGCGCCCACACGAGCCGTTCTGAACCCTCCCATGATGCAACATTAGAGAGAAGACCGTTGTCTTAAAACGTACCAGAAATTCAATTAAGACGATGTGGGCTTCCAACCAGCTGCTTTCAAACACTCTTCATGTTTTGATTTAAGACCAAAGAGTGTTGAGGTGCGGCCCCGGACGTCTTGCAGCAATTTATTTGAGGAAAGTGCAAACAAAACCCAAGACAATAGACAATGGGCTGGACTCCGTGGGGCGGACATGAAAGTCCATCGTCATTATAAATGATTTACTATCACAAAAAGAATCTCATCCATCCAACAGCAACACGTAGATGTGTGCTCGCTGGATTCTTTTCGTCTGTTGGTCGCGTTACAGCGTCGGCGGGCTTTCAAGTGAGCTTTTCCTTTTCTGGCGTCTGGAACGGAAGCCGGGCGTTTAGGCGTGACCTCGGCCCTCGAGCAGTTGTGCAGTGACAGCTGATGGTGTCACTCCCATCTGACCTTTTCACACACGAGAAACACGTTCACACTGGTCAGCTGACTGTCCTTATCTAAATTGGTGTTTTTATACTGTAGAATTACAAATATCTTCTTATTCCTGGGACTGATTTTACTGTTTGTGTTTGTGTGTGTGTGTGTGTGTGTGTGTGTGAATCTGTCTATGTGTCAGAATGTGGTTGTATTGTCCTTAGTGGGTGGAAGTACAGCACAGTCCCTTTGCAAGAACTTGGACGAACATTTTGTTTATAAAAATCCCAGTTTTTGCAGACACACACTTTCACATGCATACACACACTCTCTCTTGTACTTTGAGTGCTCTAAGAATAAATACAACATCACAGAAAGTGTGTGGACCATTAATAACAAAACACCACTAAACTAAAATTACTGGTTCGATATGAATCAGAAATGATAATTTCTTTCCCCTAAATTGTCTAAAATTCAATAAAAAAAAAAAACTAATTCAAAACCATTCAGATTTGTTCTGGGCTTCAAGTAAAGGGTCAGAGTTCACTGTGGTTTCTCCTGTGTGTCAGCATTACCCCTGCTGCTTCTGGGCAGCCTCAGTCACTCCTCACCATAACCCAGCAACACACACACACACACACACACACACACACACACACACACACACACACACACACACAGCATTAAATTACAGTTAAATATAGCCAGAAGTTTGTCCCCAAGACGTACTAATCAGGCACAATTATGACATCACCTTTCAAGAAAAAGCTCACAAATCATTCGTAAGCGAGTGAACGTTAAACAAAGTTCTTTTATTATGTATAATTCCAGTATTGTGCAATCAATGCTCTTGTCAAGTCAAGCCTTGACCCCCAAGTGACCCGGGCGGCCGCCGCTCGTTTGGACGCAGAGCTAAAAAAGAAAAAAACTTGAAAGTAACAGTCACTGTCGCTGCCACTGTTATTTAAGACTTAACACATCAGGTGTCACGTGAACCAACTAATCGAGAAACGGGAAATGACAGGAATACTTACATTTTTTATCAAATCGTTTCAATGATTTCAATTTACCGCTGACATTGACTCCAAATAAATAAATAATAGGGGAATCAAATATATGGCAAGTTATGCTTTCAAGGCTGGAGAGTAAAGGCTGAAATCCCTTCTGACGACAATGAGAGCAGAAGCTCCGCCCTCCTATCACAGGTGGAGGGTGGGCAGTATGTGGGTGTAACCAGTGCGATGTCGACTCCCACTAACAACCGTGAAAAGTGTCTCTCTGACCTCCCACCTCCCTCTCCTCCTCTCCCTCTCCTCATATTAACTGGAGGGCAACTCCCTCCCTCCCTCCCCCCACACACGCTCCAAAAATGGTAAGCACGGCGTTGAAATTGTCCCAGAGTAACTGCAGAATGAAGCATCGACGTGGTTCTTGCGGCGGCGCGCCGGCTAAGGGAGCGCTCGTCCGTCTGTCCGGCGTGCCTCGCTCCCTCTTTCTCCCTCCGTGATGCCGAAAATAGCCCAGAGTGCCGAGTACGATGAGGACATAGATTGCTCTTCGGCGATATGTTCTGTGATGTCGTATTGAGCCGGGATAAATATTGACATGTAGTCTGATACGGATACAGGGGCCCGCCGGTAGTCAGCATGGTTATCGACACCGCGGCGGCCATATTGAAAGTCCACAGTGGGTGTTAACAGCATGCAGGGTTTCTAAAACGCTTTAGGAGGAATTCCATTTAGCTCCTGGTGTTGTGTCTTCATGTAGTGGGAAACTTTAACCGAGTCTGCTTATTAGCAAAGCCTGTACTTCTCTTTTCACTGAGGGTCAAATTGCTGTGAAAATGGCCGACACATCAGAGTCAAACATGAAGAAAGTCGTCGTTTCACAACAGCCACGTGTAATCAATTGGAAATAGATAGTGTTGGCTCGTTATCGGGTAAGGTGTGTGTGCTACAGTCATATCGCCGTTTCAGATCGTGTTTTTTATGAAATTCTCAGTATCTCTTTGCTATCTGCTGATTGGATGATGCAAAACCCTTTCATCTCTGCGTCGCTTTCTGCCATTTTACCGCCCTCGTGACGCGCCGATCAGCCGCGCCGTAAATGGTTTGTGTCACGCGTTGAGGGAGTAAATGTGTATCTGTCGCTGGATGTGCGGCTCGGTGTGCCTGGCGGCTCATATCCCAGATTACCCTCAATTTATCTGCCGGCTGACTATCTGCCGTGACATCAGCGGGGACACTGGCGATGACATCACTAAAACAGGATGTCCTTTTCTGATTGCTATTTTAATCTTCTGGTTGCAGAATTTGGAGGAATTTGATGACAAAATGATTTCAGAGAGGACCATTGATGCCAAGCTGATAGTTTGAAGTCCTGTATCGCTTTTTGAGATGTCAAAAAATAAAAGACTGAACGTTAATTTTATTTTTAATAATAAAATAATAATAACAAGGTAATAATAACCGGCCAATTTAAGACTTTACTAGATTTCTGTTCAGACCAAATATGGAGAGACTCCATATCCATTATATTTTAATTGTATTAAATCTAGATGAGGTTTGACCTTTGAGTGTGAATTGCATGGGTGTCCTTGTGTATGCGAGCACTTATAGACAGGTAATTACAGCTGTGATCCATTTTCCCTCCCGGAGAGCTTAATAGATCTATAGCCAATAATTAGGGAAGGTAATTAGTTATTCATATGTGATTCCAATCAGAACTTGCGTCATCGATGCTCCCGAAATGGTAAAGTGGCAACAATGAACATGTTTGCCTCTGTCCTTACAGGTGATCCTGACGGTTTACCTCAATGACACCCAGCAGATGCTAACCGAGGTCCCGGTTACCCCGGCGACCAGGGTGATTGACGTGGTGGAGTACTGCAAAGAAGCCGGGGAGGGGGAGTGTCACCTGGCTGAAGTATGGAATGGGCACGGTGAGTCCATCTGCACCCATCGAGGCTTCTGCATATGGGAGAAAGTTTCTCCATTACGTCCACCCTGTTTGTGACCAGCTCATCTGAATCATCACAGTAACATATTGTTATATCTTCTGCGGAGTGTAAGGTGATAATTACAAGAATTAAAACTACCCGATTCTCATCTATTATTCATCACAGAGGGGGGGAGGACATCGCTTATTTTAACAGGAGTCAAAATATATGCACACATTTCTTCATTTTTAATTTGTGACCATTAATAACCTGATGATAATAGTTATTGTTGTGTTTTCTGACCTGTTCTCCCACACACACACGTGGTGCATCACCATGCCCATTACTAATAGAACCCCTATTGACATCCTCTTGACAATCCTTTTAGGGCATTAGAGTATTTATGATTATAATCTGGAATTAAATGAGGGGCTAACCTCAGAGGGACTCTGGCCTAGATCGCCTGCTTTCAAGCCCACTGGACGTAAATCACGTCCGCACCTCGCGAAATCAATAGAGCTGCCCGCTGCACACTGGGCGCCATTGTGGTAGAAGTGAATGGAGCGCTCCGCCGCATACACAAACACTGAGAGCCGCTGCGTCTATTAAAGCGCGGCCCACTTACGGTCCGTCGCAGCGACACGCTCCACGGCGCAGCGTGTTTTTGCGAAGCCCCGCGGCGTGACCGAGAGGTCAGCGAGGCTTTAAAGGCCACTAATACCGCGAGGCAGCGCATCATAAATACCGGTATGAATTGTGTGGCTCGTGTGACGACAGGCCGCGCCTCAAGGCCTCGACTGGCCTCACCGCCGGCGGGAGTGTGTGTGTGTGTGTGTGTGTTTAGGCGTGAAGCCACTGTCAACACGTGTGTGTATTGTTAGCTTTGTATTGACATGCTTCTCGGTGGGAAAGGTTTGCGGCAAAGGTTTCTGAAAACACTACAATGCAATGGCTGCTTTAATCATAGGAATAATAAGGACAGATAATGGAGGAGTTTGAGTTGTTTATATAGAATGATATTAATACGATGGAGAAGGAAGTATTTGTTCATTGTAAATCTGTAGATGCGCTGATAAGTAGAACTTGTATCAAAGTTTGAAAGCGTAAAATAGATGAGATATATTCATCGCCTTTTCTCTGGATCAATCACAGTAAGTGACTCTCCCTAATAGCTTCTGCTATTGTTTTCCTCAGAGCGAGTTCTCCCTCAGGAGGTGTTATTGTTGGACCTCCTCCAGCAGTGGGGAGCCAGGAGGCCGGAGGTCGGCTTCTACCTCCGACACTGCCCCTCCTGGACGCAAGGTACAGCAAAACAAACACACAGAGAAGAAGAGAATACCACCCGGGTCTCTGATATGAATATATGAACATGTGCTGCAGCTCACGAATGGATTAATGTTCATGTCAAATGTAGAAGACCTACCAACCCGGTGTGCACGATGCCGTGTGCGAGGGTTAGGAGGTGAGGTCTGGGGCTCGGTCAGTAATTAGCCAGATAAGATGATTAGTGTTACATAACATGGACAAGGTAAACCGGAGTGGGGGGGGGGGGGACCAGACAGATCGCTCACAAAGGATTTAGCATTTAGCTTTGATCCTAAATGAATAGGTTTCCCCTTTTCTCTAAAAGTAACGAATGACGATGATGATGTCATTTCGTGCACAGTGTGATGTTGTGCGTGTAATAGCCGTAGCAGTGGGGTGTTTTTACGTCTGCTCCCGAAGCCCCCACCTGGTGCATGCCCACCGCATTCATTAAAGGCATGATTACTATTCATTACAATCCCGTCACGGACACGTGCTCGTGGGCTGAGTAGTATGTTGTGAATTACAGTAACCCCACCTGCGCTTTAGTGGATGATTCCAGATGATTCCAGATCATGCTCTACTGATTCCCGTCGAGCGGCTCCTCCTCCAGCGGATCTGTAATGCGTTTAGAACGGGAAGAAGAAGGAAGATAAAAACTCAAAAGTCGGCGCTGTGGAGGGAGGATACCGCGTTTCCTGTTTAGAGAAGCAGACTGTAACACAGATGTGAACGATAACACACAGTATGTCGACCTGTTTGCGTGGATTACTCTTGATAATTAGCTCACCGTCTCAACGGCAGCTTCTGTTAAATATGCTTCTGAACTCATTGTATACAAATACTTGTTTGAGTATTGATGGTAAGAAACTCATTTTTCGGCTTGATTACCGCATCGACTGCTCTCTTGACTGGAGGTGAGATTCAGCGCTGGGATTAGCCCACATTGAGCCTGTCTGGTCTTAGTAGAATTAATAGGAATTATGCTATTTATAGATTACTCGCAGAGAGAAGGCCGGAGACGGATACAGATAAGATGGGGGAGATTTCACTTTTCCCATTCAAAATTGAATGCGTCTTAATCTTCATTCTGTGTCATTACATAGTTTTTCAGCACAGCCACATTGCTGTGGGTCTTATTTCCTTGTTCTCTGTTGCTCAGGCAAGTTGCCAGCAACTTTCTCTGCATCCCTAAGAGAGGCTGCAGATAAATAAACACAGCAACATGTACACAGAACCAGAAAACACTGTAGAATACTTAGAAAATGTACTCACTTAACGCGTGCATACATACATTTAGATGTCATTAGCATTTTGTGTTGTATATGCATTGTCATGGAAAGTGCTTTTTCAGGCCGAGTCCTGTCGTTTTACACAAGGACCAACTCACCCGTACCTTGTTTCAATATTTCATGCTTCGGCTTTCTTGTCATTGTTCATTTATACGCAGGAAGTCCGCAGTCTTTGGAGCAGAGCTCGGCCACGGAGGCAACACAGAGTGCTGACGACAAGGTAGACGCACACACACACACACACACAAACACAGTATAGGCCAAAGGTTTATGGCAAAGAGTGATTTCCCACACAAGGCCTCTTAAACTGCACGTACAAATACCAAAAGAATAGTTTAGATTAGCATGAAGATTGGAACCTCAGGTAAGCCGGCCTAGTTCTTTTTCTTAAATTGCCAATAATAATATATAGTATAATATTTCAAGCATTTTGGTGCATTTGTGTGTGAGTATTCACATACATACAACGCCACGCATGTGCACGTCTGTTTGTATGTGTAGTCTAGCGGATTATCCCACGGATTAGTGACAATGATGATTATAGTTCTCCATCAGCACGGACCAACACAGACACACACACACATGTGGTACACAATAATATAACGCGGTATAATTACTGTATTCACAGACGTGGCGTAAAGAAATAGAATAGGAATTAGCTGCTTGTCACTCGGCTGACTAACGCGTTGCTTTATCCTGTTGTCTCTTCTCCAAAGTAATGAGTCAGGTTGTAAAAGGAGCCGCTGACTTCATGCTAGCAGCTTTTCATTCATCGCTAACGGCTGTTTTTAACCGTTGTGGAGCTGTTGTGCGCGCTGGTGAGGCCTCGGTCAGCCCGTCACTGTGTGTTTGTGTGTCGGTCAGTCTGCCGGTTAGTCAGCCAGTGTGTGTGTGTGTGTGTGTGTGTCGGTCAGCCAGTGAAGGTAGGATTAGCTTGGTCCCATGACATAACCGGGCTAAGAGGATTGTTAGCTAGCCAAACAGCTCCTCCTCCTCCTCCTCCTCCTCCTCTTCCTCTCACCTCGAGCACTCCTTCACAGACGTCTTGAGGTATCCGTCTTCCTTCGTCCTCTGCCTTCTCTAAACATTCGGCCTAAAGGCCAAACACAGGGTTTGAGACGAGACAGGTGTGTGGGGGTGAGTTTTGGAAATTGTTGTTTCTGTTCTGTTGTTGTGTGTGTGTGTGTGTGTGTGTTTGTGTGTGTCAGACTGTGTGTGTGAAGCCCTAAACTTTCTAGCCACCCTCCACTCTTTGGTTTTCTCCCCCCCATCAGCTTGTCAATCATAACAGGGACACCTGTCTCCTAGAGATGTGAGAAGAGGGGGACTTTGAAATGTGTCTTTGAATGTTTCCTACTTTCTTTTCACCCGGTTTTATCTTGATCTTATCTTATCTTTTTTTGTGTGTGTGTGTGTGTGTCCGTGTCAGAGCACAGTGTGTGTTTTAGGTCAGTGTGGTTTAAGCGGGACGCTTTGTGCCAGCGCGGTGCGGCGTCTCCTGCTCATCGGGCTGACAGCGCTATTTTGTCCGTGTGTGTTTGTGTGTCTCGTTGTGTTGCTTTGGGGTTGTGGACGCATGACTTCAAGTCGGGTGTGTGACACACACCAGATGCTGTTTCCTCCCGCGTAACGATGTTAACGTGACACAGCGCTGACATTTGTGTGCATGTGAGGGGGATACATTGCTTTAAGTTTGTCCTCCATCGCTCATCTCGACACTAACGACGTTACTCACGGCGACGGAATGTCTTATCTTATGTTCAATATCGCTTATGCGACTGCAGGGAATCCACCCCTCCCGTCTGCGCACGGGAAGCCAGGCTGTGTGGTTGTTGTATTCAATAAGGTAGTAGAGATACACGTTTTATTTTGGCGGGGGGGGTGGGGTTGTGTCCCAGCACAGGTGTTCTGCAGCCTGAAGAGACGACGACTCGAATCAAGTCCCTTGACCCTGCGGTGTGTAACTCTACCCGCGCGCCGCCGGGGATATGAAGAAGTCAGATGTGTGCGTTGAGTTTGTGTCGGTGCGGACAAAGAGGAACGTCTCCACCGCATGTCGTCACTGGAAAGGCCTCCGTTTGTAACGGACCACTCCGGGTCTCAACGACTCGAGGTCCTTACACGTGACAAAAGTCCACTCCGCGAAGGCTGGGCGGAAGTTTGGAATTTTTTAAAAATAATTCAGACTCCCGCCGGGGGGGGGGGGGGGGGGGGTTGAGAGACGCGACCCCTCCGCTTGGCGGTGGTCTCTGTGAGCAGCGGGCCCTCGACCACCGCAGCGGTTCCCCTTTTGGCTTCGTCAGAGCGCTGCAGGAATGTCTGAAGCCTGTTGTTGCAGACTAGGAGGAATATTTTTACAGGGGGCGTACAGCAGATGGGAAAGGGATGGGTTTCATTTCTGGAAGGACGTGTAATCAGAACAACCTGTGTGTGTGTGTGTGTGTGTGTGTGTGGGCCTCCTATATGTATGCATACGCACTCACTGTTTGGAAATCCAATACTCTCACTGGGAAGGTGTAAATCCGTGTGCTTTCAGAATATGATCGCAACAGATTACACGGCGGTGAAAGACCAGCGAACAGCTGCGGGGCGGGACGGCTTTGGGGGTCCTCGTATGTTCGGACATGTTCGGAGCGTGTCGCTTTTCTACGGGTTTCTGACGGCCGTCAATCGCGTTGGAAAGTTAAACCGCTGAGCCGGACTCTTCGCTCTCGTGTCGCCCCGAGCAAAGTAAGTGTCCACGTGCTGAAGGCTCGGCGGAGAAAACGGCGTGAAGTCGTTGTCGCTGTGAATATGAGATGTGCAAAGTCACACCTCATCAATATGAATGTGACGGTTCTCAGGAAAGGGCCGAGCCCAGAACAGCAGCACCAGCACAAATTCCACTCTGCCTTCATCACTGGATGTCAGCGTTAGTGTGTGTGTGTGTGTGTGTCTCTGTCCGAGTGAGACAGATGTGTGTCTGTTTCACGGAATGAAACCCAAAAAATTTGACAGGGCGGCGCGTGTAAATAACCTGGGTATTTGTGTGTGTGTCGCAGAGAGGGAGATAAAGGAAAAATATGACGCTGCAGTAGCCAGCTCTTATTCCGCGGTGTGTTAATCTGCCGACGTCGTCATCTCCCTCTTCATCACACACATCTGGAGCGGGAGGCTGATTGCTGCTGCCCCGGCAGGGCAGTGGTGCAGTGATTCCCCCGTTCTGACAGGAAGCGGGAGACAAGAAAGAGGGGAAAAGAAAGAGGGAGGTGTGTGTTTGGAAGAGAGAGAGAGAGAGAGAGAGAGAGAGAGAGAGAGAGAGAGAGAGAGAGAGAGAGAGAGAGAGAGAGAGAGAGAGAGAGAGAGAGAGAGAGAGAGAGAGAGAGAGAGAGAGAGAGAGAGAGAGAGAGAGAGAGAAGGAAATGTCGCTGCAGCAAAAAAAAAGAAAGCCGGCCGCAGATGCGTGAAATGGAATGAAAGAAAGAGATGAAGGAATGCAGATGTGAAAAAGAGAAGGGGATTAAGAAGGATGGCGAACTGGCCTGGGTGGGGTCGCAAGACCTTGACTCCTGGCTACAATGGGCAGGGCGGGCAGCAAGAGGCTAGTCTAAAAAGGAGGGGAAAATGGAAGACTTTCCTACTTTATTGTTTGGCCGCTTCCCATTAGAGAGGGTTTGTTTTAGAGAGAAAGAGCGAGAGGGAGAGAAAGGTGGGTGGGGGGGGGAGACAGAGGGGGGGGGGGGCGTGGGCGCCGAGCAAGAGAGGGAGAGAGCGCGTCGCGATTCACGGGCACATCGGCGGGCGGACGAGAGGGAAAGTTGTGGTCGGGATCGGCTCCGTCTTTCTGCCTCCTCTGCGGCGTCTCCCTCTGGACGCACGGCCCAGGATGGAGTGGAACGAGGTGGATCTGGTGCAGGAGTTCACTGTTGAAGGACAATGCAGCAAAATTAAAGTCCGCTCCTGCAGGATCACATGGGACAGCCTGCAGGTGAATGCACAGCACAGGCGGGGGGACACGGCAGGGGGGGGGGCATGCGAGCGTGAGCTGACACGCATGTGGTGACAGCGTTTTGTTGCGTGTCGGGCGGGTTGTTAACTTTAGGATGGAGGTCGTCGTCAGGGGACGCAGAGAAGGGTTTAAACTCCACGGACGGACACGGATGTCACAAGTTGTCTTTGCTCCAGACGGTGACAGCGTTTCAGAATCATTCTTTTAAAGCCAGATGTTCTGTGAGACAGATTTGTAGCTCAAAGACACTTCAGTTTTCCATTTGAACCAAAAAGAAATTGTAAACGTCAAACATAAAAATTGCTTTAAAGATATTTTATAAAGGCGAGTTTAAACCACATGAATTCACCTCGATGCTTTTCAAAGCAAAGCGCTTCAACCCTATTTTGTTGAGATATTCAGTGGTTCATTTTCACATCGTTCATATTCTTACACAATTGTAATTAATATGGCCTTTAAGTGCATTCACAAATGAGCGAATCAAAGTGGCATTTTTAAATGATGATAAATGGAAGAGGTCGCTGCTCACGACGTGATGGCATGATGCCAGTGGTGTTCTGGTCCTACTGGTGCTCCTGGTCTCCTTTAAGGGGAAAGCAGAATGCGTTTGTACCTGCAGACTCTTCATAATGAACGTGCACGTGGGACTCTGCAGAATCCCACAGGTCAGCAGTAATCCAATGACTGGAAAACCAGAGTAATGTGAGTAATGTCTTGGCCTGAAATATGACTCAAACTGTGCGTCGGCATTGTGTTTTGGAGAATGAATTGGTTGTGGAGGCGGTGAGGGCAGCGCGGCCGTGGCTAATCGCTGATCCTCATAATGAAGCCAGAGTTCGTGCTTCCAATCCCACGAGTTGTTCTCCACTGGTGAAGACTTTTTGGAACTTTTAACAAAGCCTCAGATCCTTTTGAGACCCTTCGACCCCGAGGCCCAAACCCCTTAAATCCTGATGATGATCGGCCTCGCTAATGATCCGTCGCTCACTGCTGCAGTAACTCAATTCATCAGACCGAGTTCTTGCTGAAGGGTCGGTCCGGATCTATTTGCATTCTTATGAGAAACAACAGCGCGATGGAGGGAAATTCTATTCAATTTAAGTTGTGTTCTTGACACTCCTTTAGTTGTTTGTGTGTTGACTGTGTGGAACCTCTACTTTGACATGAGACGTTTGTTTAGGACTATTTTAAAAAGTAATCCTAATCTTTTCTCATCCTCATTTCTACATACAGGTGTTCTACAACGTTGAAGAGCTTTTATGTTTTATGTTAACACATATTGCAAATTATGTGACCTGAGCTAATTGACATTTTTATAACGTGATCCATGTTATTGTTTATTTACCTATTTTTAAACGGATAATATTATAGAATTTGCTTATGACTAATGATATTCACACCATGTGACCTTCATATGAGAGATGAGATCACCCGTAATGATTAGTCTCATAATGACTCATAAAAGGGAAGAATCTTATTCGCTAGGTGCCATCGTCAATCAGCGTTACTCGTCTGGATCAAGTCACAAATTAAACTGTGCCTTTTTTGGCGGTGCAGCAGGCTAATTTAACCCCTCGCACACTGTGCAATAAGCTAAACTGATGATGTGACGTCACACTGAGTCACGTTCTCCTTTTTGCCGAAGATCTGCTCGACGTCTTGAGTTAATCAATCAATGACGTTTAAAGCTTTGAAACGTTGTCTTATCGGTTCACTATTCACAAAGAGGAGATTCCTTTTTTCTATCACAGACCGTGTGTGTGTGTGTGTGTGTGTGTGTGTGTTTGTGTGTGTGCGCGCGCACATGTCCATGAGTGCACAATAGCAGGATGTGACCGGAAAGAAACCTTCCGTTTTCTCTCAGCCACGCACACATTTCTAAGTACGCCCGTAAATTGTTTGTCCAGCAGAACATCCACTGGCTACGTAACCGAGCGCTGTCCGACTTTTGTTCAACGTCCGCGTCACAACCCTGAAAGGAGCAGATCAGACGGGATTACGGTGATTTCTCACCCGAACCGTCACCATCATTCACTCACTCGGGCCAAGGCCACCAGCTGCTGTCCTGATCACATTTCCGTAGCACGGTGAAGGTGCTCTGCGACCTGTAGTGCTAGGTGATGTGTGTGTGTGTGTGTGTGTGTGCAGCTGTGCGCTGCAGTCTAGCATTTACCTCCCGGCTGTTTGGGTTTTCACCTCCTCGTCAGTAACAGTCCTCACGCAGTTATGTGTGTTGTACGGAAACAGTGATAAGATGTGCAGAGGGGGAAACACAAACCCTTTTTTATGTACATACTACATTAATATGCGTGTGTGTGTGTGTGTGTGTGTGTGTGTGTGTTTAGGTTCCCCGTGTGGAGCTGACCCTCTCTGAGTTGCAGGAAATGGCCACAAAACAATATCAACAAATAGAGGCTCAGCAACAGATGTTGGTTCGCCAAGGTAATGTGTGCGGCACATACACACCTTACACACACACACACACACACACATAAACAAAGCTGTCGGATGGAATTGCCTGTCAGTTGATGTGAGGTTATCTATTTTAGAGTCTGTCTGAAAAGGTCGGCTTTGAGGCCCCATTCGTCCTTGGCAGAGTGTGTGTGTGTGTGTGTGTGTGTGTGTGTGTGTGTGTGTGTTTGTGTGTTTGTGTGCACGCGTGAGTGCACGAGATCTCGGGCCACACGTCTTCCTCGCAAACAGGACATGTGATCAGGTCAGAGTTTAAGGATTGGCAGGAAAGAACGGCCCCATTTCAGCAAATAGAAAACCGTTCAGCTTTAGATTGTTGTGTGTGAGTGTGTGTGTGTGTGTGTGTGTGTGTCTGTGTGAGACACCTACCACGGCCATTCCCACACTAGGAAGTGACCTTTGAGTTGACAGGAAATGAGGTCATCTGTAGGAAGTGGAAGCACTCGAGGAAACAGACCTAAAAAAAACCTTATTCTTCTAAATGAGTCAAATCTCTTTGTTAATTTGTCCAAAGTCACACTGCCACTGCTGTATTTCCTTTGGCAACATTACACAGCTAATTGGCAGCTATTCAGCGTGTCCTTCCCGTGTGTAAGTGTCCTTACTTACGCTTCCTGAGCGGAAAAGGCCCCCCAGCTGCAACGCGGAGGCAACGATCACATCGTTTATCGGCGAGTCCAAAACGCTGCTGCTGCACGAAGTGAAACAAACAGCTGTTATGTAACGCCGTAATCAGTGTGTGTGCTTGTGTGTAAATGATGGGACGCTTCTTGCCAACATTCCATTTCCCTCTTTCTTTGCGCGGTATTGTGTGTGTGTGTGTGTGCGTGTGTGTTGAAAGGGACTCTCTTCACTGGTACAGAACGAGGTGCAAACTGCATCAGCATCACACAGCTCGGGCTTCTCCTCTGCATGAAGTATGAAATATTGTGTGTTTTTTAAAAATGTTTACATGTTTACTTCCAGGAGCAGAGACTGAGGTACCTTCACCAAGGAGGCAGATTGAACCAGGCACAGACTCAGGTGTGCTGTCTCTCTTTTTTTCAGTCCTTAACAAAAGACAAGGGCACTAGAACCTGTTTACGCCATTTATACTCGGGTGGTCAGAAGTTAGCTCCAAGGCTTATTGTCCAATAAACCAATCAACCGTAATTATTTGTTGAATGCGGACTGAAATAACGACGAGAAATGAAGCCTGTGTCTCTTCCTCTTCGGCCTTCGTCAGTCTGAAGCTGAGAAGCTGCAGCGGCTAAAGGAGCGGGTGGAGACTCAGGAAGCCAAGCTGAAGAAGATCCGAGCCATGAGAGGACAAGTGGACTACAGCAAACTGATCAACGGAAACCTCTGTGAGAATATCCGCACCGCAGAGACCACGGTGGCCCTGTGGATTATACACACACACACACAGACTGCTGTTGATGACATGCTAATCGTGTAGCAAAGACAATGCTAGTGGTCCGTATCATCATATCATATTCTACCCCCCTTGTGTCCGTGTGCAGCTGCAGAGATCAACCATGTGAGCAGCCTGTTCCAGGAGAAGCAGGCCGAGCTGCAGTCCGCCGTGGTCAGAGTAGACCAGGTAACGCCTGGGGGGGACAGGAAGGGACCGTGGGAGGGGGGAGCTGTTAGTGGAAATCAAGCAGAACTGAGTTTGAGTCGGCAAGGTCCGCTAAGCTCTCTCTGTGAATGCTCTCACCAGTTGAGCCAGCAGCTGGAGGACCTGAGGAGAGGTCGCCTACAGCTGCACCCGGCTGCGCCGGCTCAGGGGCCACACGCCGGCTCCCAGGGGGCGACCGCCGGCCAGAGGGGATCCCCCCTGTCCGGCCCCGCGGCCCTGGAGCTGAGGAAACTCTACCAGGAGCTGCAGGTGAATTATTCCATTCGCAAGACTTAAAAACCTTTTATTTCAAAGAATTAAAAGAGGTTCAAGCAGAACAAACGAGTCCTAAGTTTCTGCAATTTACTGCCGTTTATTTCCGATACTGCACTGCAACTTTTATTCTATTTTTAGTTTGTTTATTGTTTTAATGTTGTTAATTGTTTTTAAATCCTTCGACCTGCTGTTTTGATGGTTTTAATGGTGAAGCACTTCTTATCGCCTTGTTTCTTGAAATACGCCGCACAACTAAACACGCCTCACCTCACCGGACCTCGCTCTGCCCCTCAGGCCCGCAACCGCCACAACGTGGAGCAGAGCAGCAAGCTGGCGCAGAACAAGGAGCTGCTGAACAAGAGGAACGCCCAGGTGACGGTGATGGATCAACGCATCGGAGACCTGAGGGAACGCCTTCACAAGAAGCGAGCCGAAGTGCGCGTCTTAACTCTGCTTCCTTTGCATTTCACTCACTCGGGTTTGAAGTTCTGAAAGTCTGATTCTGTCCCGTCTGTCTGGCGTCCAGCTGAGCCGCATGAACGGAGGAGGCCCGTCCTCGCCTCAGGCCTCCGCCCACCCGGGCGCTGCGGTTTCGGGGCGAGTGGCGGCCGTCTGCCCCTACATCCAGGTGCCGGCAGAGGGCAGGCAGGAGGCGGGCCACGGCCCGGCAGCGGACCCGCCGCCCAAACCCACGCCGCTCGGCCACGTCCGCTCCCTCTCAGGTCGGCGGGTCTCCTCCCTCTCTCTGTTGTTTACTTCAGGGTTCCATATGTCTCTTATTCCGTATCTCTGCCTGGGCTCTAACTTTCTGTCTCTTTCCTCTCCGTTTGCATCGACTCCTTTTTTTTTTTTTTTTCCTTCTCCCTTGTCTGTTGTCGTCGTCTCACACGTGATTCTGTGATGGTTGTTTTGTCCCGTGTTGATGTCGCGCTGGCGCTCGCTCGCCGTCCCCTCTTTCCTGTGTTGTGGCGTCCCCGCGGTGGTGATAATGTTCGTGTCGATGTCCCGGTTTTTTTTTCGTCATCGTCCCTGTCCGTCCTGGCGGGTGTGGTCGAGCAGAAGAGGACAGGAGTGGCGGCAGGAAGCCTCCCGGCCAATGGAAAGAGTCAGATTTAGACATCGTCCTGTCGAAGCCCACTGAGACGTGGGAGGGTCCTCGGCCCCCTCAGGGGGGAGACGGTAACCACAGTGAGTCCCTTGAAGGCGCAAGAGAAACTTACCCCCCTCCACCCCCCCCCTTTAGTTCTATCTGTGTTGGATCAGCATGGTCTGCGTCGTGTGTCCCGGGTCCGTTCACGGTGCCTCCTTCATTTGTTCTATTGAGCCTAAATAAAGGCCGAGGTGTTCTTAGAGTCCTGGGCTGACAAACCGAAGGGTGCGTTTAGGAACAAAAGAACAAACGGTACAGATGGTTCTGGGAACATAATTGAATGAGCTGTACAGAAAACGACCTCAGGATGTGAGGGTCGTGTGCACAGGGACGCAGGCAGGAGTCACATGACATCTGATAGCCTGCAGCTGCTCAGAGTTAGGAAGCCCGGCGTACCAAAACAGAACCGAGGGCACACCTTCGTCTGGACTGAATCGGTTCTTCTCGTCTTCCTCCCTGGTGTGAGAAGGTCAATTTTGGCTGGTTCACGCTAAGCTAAGCTAACGCCGCGTGCTACATGAGGCCGATGTGCTAATCTTCTCTCCCGCCTACAAATAAGTGTAATACCAAAACATGCAGAACCCTTCCTCTCACGGAACATCGCGTCTGGTTATTAATAAAACTGGCTTAATTTGTCAGCATCCATCCCGAATGGCGAGAATCCCCTTTGTCGGCATAACATGACCGCGTTGTACCAGGCTGCACGCAGGCACTTGTGCTTAAAGTACTGCGTCAGTACATCGAGACCAGTAGTATTTCTACTCACTTGGAATGCCCGAGCAAATTCCACAGCGGTGTTTGTTTGTGTCCCAGCGTAAAATGGAAAACGCATAGCGGTAAATTGTGTCAACAGTCGAGCAAGTGACACAACAAATAAAGGAAAGGAAGCCTGAGGTACGCGTGTTGCTATAAACAGGCTGAGTGCTGTCTGTGTGTGTGAGATAAGGAGAGACACATGCTTGATGTTTACAGTTCAGAGTGCTTAACAATTGCTGGTCACTTATATATTTGGTCATTAACATATTCTGAGGATCATTACGTACGATAATCTACATAGCTAGTAGAGTGAAAGCAGTGAGGACTCCTCTCTGACCTCGGCCCCCCCGTCTCCTGCATCGGGACGTCCTGTAATGTCTTTCCGCTTAAGACGCCGCGTGAGCGCTTGTAATCACGCGACGGGGCAGCTGGCCAGCCCTCCGCCTCGCACACAGCGGGCTGTTTGTTTTCCTGCCGTGACCGTCGTTCATCCTGAGGTCAAGCGTGTACAGCAGCGCCGCTTCCTGACCGCAGGACTCCCGGCTTCGCCGGTTAATCAGTATCAGTGTGAAATGTGCCAAAAACTGTGGCGGGGCTGCGCGACTATCAGCTGAGATGAACGGTTATGTAGCAGCTTGCAAAAATACCAAACTAGCCACCCGACACGTGTTCTATGTTTCCCACAACTGACTATTAAAAGTACCTGAAAAACTAGAGACTTACCCAACGGCCTCAGCAGGATTTTCTTCTCGCTGCTGATTCGTAACTGCTAGCGTGCTAACTGTATATGCACGACTTTTGTTTTCCCCAGAACTAACTCGCTTCCCAATAACATTCAGCCATTTTCACTCAGACCTTGACTTCCCTAGTTAATAGGCAACAGTGGCTAACGACTTTCTGCTCGACCTGCCGTGACCTCAGTGGTGCAACACCACCCGTGTGGAGGGAGAATCGTCGTGTTTCGTGGCCTATTCCAGTTTGAGTGTTTAAATGCCTTCTCTTGGCTCTCCGCCTGCGCATGCGGGGAAGCGCGGTGGCGGGTGACTGGCGTCCTGTTCCACTGAGGCCTCGTGGCTGAGCTGCGGGAGGTTGAGTGTTGGATACGTGGGCTGGTTTCACCCACTTAGTGACGGGTGATATGTTGAAGAAGCAGGTGGATCAGTGCAGTGGAATGAGCACCATCAGTACAATTTGATGAATTGGCAGCTTGTGTTAAACATTGAGGCTACCGGTTAGCATCCATACCATTAGCATCTCCCAACTTCTTCTCAGCGCAACATATGAACTTACCTTCATCTCTCTAACTCTATCTTACATCTAACCTACTTTAACCTTCTCTAACGTAAGCTTGTTTGTTTTCCCTGACTTTTCACTAAATAACTGCTTCGTTTCAACCTTCCTCAAAACGTTCTCTTTCTCCGTTTAGCTAACGAAGCGTCGTGGCCGAGCATCAGTAAGAACGCGTTGGATTGGAGGACCAACGGTCCCGAACAGGTACAGCTCTGTTTCCACACCAGTCGTCAGCCGTCAGGCTTCAGAGTAAACTAAATGACATGTAATGCAATGCAAACTGTTGTGTTGTCTTCATTTAAATGTGTCTCCCTCTCCCCAGCCTCCCTCTGGTTACGGTACGTACCCCAGTGCCACCCACCAGGCAGCAGGGCATCCGTGCGCCACCAGCTCCCTGCCCCGCTCCGCCCCCGGGACCCTGGGCTGGCCCCGATCCAATGCTGCAAATACCCCTTCATCCTCTTCCTCCTCCTCTTTACAAGAAATACACCAACGCGTCTCCATCCCTCAAAGTCCAATTCGAGGTGAATCACAGAGTTTCTTAGACAGAAATTGACAATTGTGGACAAATGCCGAACCCGCATTATAAACTGTCTATATATATTTATATATATAATGACTCAGGAGTCGGGGAGGCCTTAAACCACTTACTTTCATACCCAGAAATGGCCCTGGGTTCATTCTACTGACCCTAATATTCTGGTTCTAACAGAAACAGTTTGAGGAGGGAGAGGTTCATATGTTTATTCACGTTTAACATGTTTAACACATTCTTAAATAGTAGAATCGGTATTGGAATAATTTAATTAATCCACTTTCAGGCAGCTCAGAAAAACACCCACGTCGCTCTTAAAAATATTAAAAGGTTTTCATAACATTGATTTTGAGGTCTTTCGCACCAACATTTTAGAAAGCATGACTAAAAAAATAGTAAGCGTCTATCGTTTTTTAGGTTTAGTTTACTGACCGCTTGAGAAATGAGAGGACTTTGCCCGTTCATCGCTGAACAAATTACACATCTCTCCATTTCCACTGGAGGTTCGGCCAATTTCCAAACTCTCCTGCTTTGCTACGGTCTCAAGAATCATTAGTTACTAATCAGCTCAAATTATTCCTGATATTTGTAAACTGAACTGTATCCATTATAATGTTCATAAGTGTTGTACAATAAGTTTGCAGTAGCTTTTCCGTACTATTTGACAGGAATGATGGTGATGTTTAGTGTATAACTCTAAACTTTAATTCATCATATCAAACCATATTACCTATTGTTCAATGGACTGATTACATTACATTTTGGGATGATATTAGACAAAAAGTCAATGGCAAATCATAAAATTATCCAATAATGACAAAGCTTTTACAAATGTAGGGAAACTGTGATGAACTGTGAATAATAACTTTAACAGAGATATCAGCGTTGCATCCGTAAAGCGAATTGTAATATACTTTGTCATGTAATTGCATATTTCCCGTGCACTGCCTCTCCCTTCAGGCTCCGCCTCCCAGCCGTCTCCCTTGTCCCCGCAAACAGAGCGAACGGATCCCCCCCCAGCGGTGGCTGTACGTCCTTATGTCCCGGACCACCCCTCCAGACCCCAGTCCCCCAGGAAGGGCCCCGCCACCATGAACAGCAGCTCCATCTACAGCATGTACCTCCAGCAGCCGCAGGCCAAAAGCTACGGCTCCCTCAGCAACCGGACCGCTGTCAAAGCAGGTGAGTCCACATATAAAGACGCTTCTTATGTTGCAACAATGTCCACGATGAATAATCCATCTGAGCTTTTCTTTCTCTCCGTAGTTTACGGTAAACCCATCCTCCCCACCTCCTCCACCTCTCCGTCCCCCGTCCCTTTCCTTCAGGGGGGAGGAGGAGGAGGAGGAGGAGGAAGAGCGGGGAGAGAGGAATTTACGGATAAAGAAGGAGGGAAGGGAGGAGGCGAGAGCGGCGATGGGCAAATCCTCCCGCCTCCCACCGTGGACAACATCCCTCGTCCCCTAAGTCCCACTAAGCTCACCCCAGTAGGTCGGTACCAGAGGACGCACCCAACGCCGTGTCCCGCCCTGTTCTTCTTTCCTGTCGGAATGTAAACAAACGTAAGAGTTCACAGACTCCCACCTGTCCCCCACAGCCCACTCCCAGCTCCGTTACCAGAGCGACGCTGACCTGGACGTCCTTCGCCGTCGCCTCAGCAACGCTCCACGGCCCCTGAAGAAACGCAGCTCCATCACGGAGCCCGAGGGCCCACAAGGGCCGAACATCCAAAAACTGCTGTACCAAAGGTCCGTTCTTCACTGTATGCGTGTTACTGTCCATGTTAGCTCCATGGGCAAAATAATGGTTAAATTCTGTTTTATTTGCACCAATAAAACAAGCAAACAACCATGAAAACAAATTGCTACATTTTCATGCAACTGAATGTGGAACCGAAGCTGGAAGATGATGTTGTTGCTGCTTTGTTAAAGCTGATTTCCGGTTGTGCCGTGCAGGTTCAACACGCTGGCCGGCGGCATGGAAGGAGGCTCAGGTGAGACGCAGGTTACGGCGGCACCAGTTGGTCTGTGTCGCGTTTCCCTTTTTGATCTTCAGGGTGATGCATAAATCGTCTGTTTCCGCTCTTGATTACAGCCAATACCTTCTACCAGCCTGACTGTATTTTGGGCGAAATGGACAACTTCCATTCGGCAAATGGAAGCGTAGAACCTTGTGACAAGCACGTCGCTGCCGGAGCGGCGGAGAGCGAGGCTCGAAACTCGGGCTCCCGCCGCTCGTCCCCTCCCGTTTCTATAGAGACACCCAAAGAAACGACGGCAAAAGCAGACAACGGCGTTAATGTGTCCCCGCCCGCCCAAACCGGGCCCCCGCCGGCAACTGAGCGGCCAGAGGACCAGAACAACAACAACAAAAGAGGATCCAGTCCTGCACAAAACTCTGCAGGCCCCGCCTCCCCCTCTCCATCTCCCCTTGCCCCCCCTTCTCTGCCCAAGGTAAGCATGGATACTCTGGTGGGGTACACTTAGGAATTCCCATTCGGCACCGTCAGCACTTCCTGTTTTCCTTCCCCGCGCGCTGCAGGTGAAGCGGACTAACCTGAAGAAGCCGTCGTCGGAGCGAACGGGCCACGGCCTGAGAGTGAAGTTCAACCCGCTCGCTCTGCTGCTGGACGCGTCGTTGGAGGGAGAGTTTGATCTGGTGCAAAGGATTATTTATGAGGTAACACGAGATTAAGTTGTTGTCACCGTGTTTGTATTCTAATACATTCTCTTTTTTTTCTAATTTGGAATGCTTGTTTGTTGTCGAAGGGTTTTACAAGCGCACGTTGGTTGTGGTTCAAACCCACTACAGCTTTTTAGAAACCGCCTGTAGAAATCCTGTGGAGACACTTACTGAATGCAAAGGCTGCACAATGTACCGTCGCAGTAGTGATAAACATACCGGGACACTTGGTCAGCTTTGCCACACAGTGTCTCCAGACAAAGTTAACTATCTGATCTGCTTCTAACACTTAATTTGTTAAAAATCTCTTCGTCGAACGAGTGAAACATTTCCTTACGCAATAGAAGAACATCGGTAGACGAGTGTCGTACACACCCTCACAAATGTTCCAACAGCTGGAGCGTTTTGAAGCTTTGCAATACCTTCACGAGCACCGGAGCATTAACGTCTTTGATCCTCTGTCGGGGGAGAGCTGCTCTCAGGTGGCAGGTGGGGAAAGTTATTGTTGAGCATGCGCGTATCCCAACAGCACAGAGCTCCCAAGAACAAAGCGCGCCGCCCCTGAAGCCGCGGGGTTACTGTGATACGCAATCCTTCTGTAGGTCTTATATCTGTATTTCCTCACCGTCTCTGTCTTTAAGGTGGAAAATCCCAGCATGCCCAACGACGAAGGCATCACTCCTCTTCATAACGCCGTCTGCGCCGGCCATCACCACATCGTCAAGTTCCTGCTGGACTTTGGAGTCAATGTGAATGCGGCCGACAGCGACGGATGGTCAGTTACTTTCGGGCCAGCCGTTCAATCATGCATTCAATAGAGAGGACTAATAATAGAACAGAGGCTGCTGCAGGGCTGCAGTGTTCGGCTAACGAACACGCGCTCTGTGGCAGTGAGGCTGCAGTGAGGAGGAACAATGACGGAGATGATTGCATTTTGACTGGGCTGCCTCAGCTGTATTGAAGGAAGAGATTACAGAGTCTAATGCGGACAGTCTGGTTACTTAATTACCGATGCGTCTGACTGAATTTGTGTCTGCTCAATGTCGGCCTGTCTGATGATGAAATTAGATTTTTGATACGAGTGCCTCACTGGATAACCGCTATACTTTTATGAACAGCATGAAGAACAACATCTGTATTGAGTCCTTGTTTGTTGTCGTCGTCCCTCCCAGGACTCCTCTGCACTGCGCGGCGTCGTGCAACAGCGTCCACCTCTGTAAGATGCTGGTGGAGTCGGGCGCCGCCATTTTCGCCACAACAATTAGCGACGTGGAGACGGCGGCGGACAAGTGTGAAGAAATGGAGGAGGGCTACGCGCAGTGTTCTCAGTTCCTCTACGGTTGGTAGTCAGAGACGGACCCGCGACTAAAGCACCCGGGTCCACTTTCAAGTGTCATTGAGAGAGTCCTCTGTGTCCCTCGCAGGCGTCCAGGAGAAGATGGGTGTGATGAACAAAGGCCTGGTCTACACTCTCTGGGACTACACGGGCCAGCAGGCTGACGAGCTGTCCTTCGGCGAGGGCGACGCCCTCAGCGTGCTGCGTCGGCGTGACGACACTGAGACGGAGTGGTGGTGGGCGCGGCTTAACGACCGCGAGGGATACGTACCCAGAAACCTGCTGGGGGTGAGAGGACACTGAGATTGTAACTGATACAACGGACACAAAAGACGAGAGTTTGTTGTCAAATGTCGTCATTCATCATTATGGTTGCTGGGAGATTGGACATTCACAGGGGGTCAGGGGGCGGAGTTAAAGCAAGGGGTCAAGACGTTCCCATCAAAACACTGTAGTATGTAGCATCAGAAACGAGGCACTGCAGGCGTATTATCATCCAGACGCGGTGTGAACCTCCAAGATGTTCAGGCACCTTGAGAACAATGTTAACATGATGCACTGACCCAGCTCTCTCTCTCTCTCTCTCTCCCTCCCCCTCTCTCCCTCTCCAGCTGTATCCAAGGATCAAACCCAGACAACGCTCACTGGCTTAAAGCCCAGATCAGGAGCCACGTGCACGCTCGCAGAGGCCGCACGCACAGCAGAAGAGGCACGGCGGCATGTGGGCGTCAGCCGAGGAGGATAGGACAAAGGGTGGAGGTAGTCGGGAGGCGAGGCCGGAGCTCACCACCCTAATGAAGCGCCGCGTTCCCGTTTGTTTGGACGCTGCGAGAACTGAGACACTTTATGGTAGAATCACAAATATATATTTTCACTGAGTTGCCGCAGTAAAAAGAAATTTGCCTCGATCTCATTTGCAGCAACGGTAGTTTGGCAACTTCACACGACTTCATTCGCATGAGAGGAGCTGAGTAGAAAAGGAATCGGATGCAGCTGCGTGCTCTTTGAGCTCCTCAAGGCTCTACCCGACATTCATCTCAATAATGCCACTTTATTTTTGTACGGTGTTAATTGGAAACTGCGGCGGCGTGGTCAGCGGACGTAGCGCGTTGTACGGAAACACTTTTTCCACTGTGGTGAGAAGATTTAAATGCAGTGCTGCAGTTACTGGATCGGCTGAATGTGTGCGTGAGATGTGAAGTACGGGAGAGGAAAGTGAGAGGACGGAAACTCTGACGGTGTGTTCAAGGAAGTCTGTTTTTTCAGGTTTTTTAAACGGAGCAGCGTTTCAAGAACAATGATGGAGGTGCAACTCCAGTTTCTAAGAAACAAAATCCAGCGAGCTTTTGATGCATGGCGGCTCGGGTCCACATCGACCCACGCAAGCACGAACAGATGTTGGCAATATAATATCATGGCATGGTAAAGAAAAAAAAAAGGTTTTGTTTGAACTGACATCAAAAGAGTATTTTAAATCAAACTTTTAAAAATGACAGACGATGCACATGTTGAATGGTTTAGGATGTCTGAACCGTTTACTACTAGTATGTATTCATGTCGCCTCAGCGGCGCTGCATGCTGTCATAGCGACATCTGTTCAACTGCAAGATGGTTGCTGCTGGGAGGAGAGGAGGGAATAGGAGGAAAGAAGGGAAACTAGAAAGTGAGAAATGTGTTTGTGAAATGAAATCGCAAAACCAAAGCAGCTACAAGGTGAAGAGGAGGAGGAATCGAGTATATATGATCCTCATGGTTACTATAGCTTTTTGGGGGGGGGAGGCTGATAACAGGCTGTAACACTAACAATATTATAAGAAAAGCAAATTTTGAACACATGAGGAACCTAAAGTGTGAAAATCATCTTTTCAACATAAATATTGCTAATTGATGAAATGTATTAATCCCCAGGTTGGTTTGCTTTATTCGAGCAACTTCTTTTGTATGTTTGTCAGTGGTGACGTCACTCACTGCTGCCCCCCAGTGTTGGGAGGAGGCTCTCACACTTTCCCTTTGACATGCTGTGTAAAATATGAGGCGATAGGTTGAGTGACGTTTGGAGTGTGAATGGCACATCGGTGTGAGGGGTGCAAACCATTCATTTGGTGTAGATGCATTCTGTTAATGTATATTAACAATAACAATGACAATAAAGATATTATAATCCCTACCGATGAGTAACGCTGTGACTGACTCCCTCAAGATTTTGTGAGGGTGTTGAATGAAACACGAAGAAGAAACGCCTCAGAGACACACACACACACACACACACACACACACAGAGGGACACGATCACGCACACATTTGTAGTCATAAAGGTGGACTTTAGAAGGGACAAAGTTCACAGGTCACTGTCTCCGTGCTGACAACAGTTCTTTTCACATATACTTATTGACGATTTTCCTTCTTAGGCGACACGCCTATTTTAAAACTAAATATTGCTTTGTGTAAGCGACACAACTAAAAAAATGTAGACGGCTTGCAAAAGACAAAACTTGAACCTCAGAGTTGAGCCCATTCAAGTGACAAAATCCCAAAATTGACTGCATGTAATGTCATTATGTGAAAATGTAAAAAGACAAATGTATTTAGTATTTATATTCCCAAAGATGAGCTTTATCTACTATTATTTGTGAAAAAAAAGATTTAAGTGCTAAGTTTATTTTGAAGTTTAACCGGAAGTGGCAGTGTTTCGCGAGCTGCTCGTGATTCTCTTCTCAGTGGGGCTCCTTAGCAGCGGGTAGCTTAGCATAACCACACCGGGAAGCTTAGCACAACGTAGCGGACAGCAAACTGTGATTCACTTCGTTTAAACTAAAGGAACTTATCGTTTAAAGTTTAACTGGACGTGTCGTCAAAACGTGAGTCAACATTTTATACCATAAACACGCCGTTACGTGACGTAGCTGTGACGTAACGAAGTCGTTGCTTTAACGTTACTTTGTGACTTTCTGTACGACACTTTTGGGGCCGAAGCAAGAGATAGAACCCAAATGTCCACTGACTGATATCAAATCTCAAATATGTTTCCATCGAACAACAAACAATTTATCAAACAAATAAGTTTATCACTCAGCTTTATCTTTGTCCTGCTTTCATTTATTTAATTGTTTTTTTTTATTATGTAATAATCATCAGCCATAATTACTAAAATACTAATAATTCATGTGTAACGTTAAAACCCCGCTATTATCTTGATACTATTTACCACTTTATGTGTGTCATGCGCACTGTGTGATCAATATATAACATCTGTTGTTTTTCATTTTGGATCACCTGTTGATCTCCAAACCTGCTACCTGTTGTGCCGGCGGCCACCACAGTTCGACCTTCGCGTTCGTGAAACCGCCGGGGCACCATGGCGAAGCCCTTCCACCTGAACACGCCTCTGCTGGAGAGCGTCGGCATGTCCAAGCGCGCGGGGACCACCGTGTACCTGAAGATGGAGAACTCGCAGCCCTCCGGCTCCTTCAAGATCCGCGGCATCGGACACTTCTGCCAGCAGGTGGGAGCCTCTTGGGTCTCTGTTGATGCGCGGAGAAGCTTTTCACGTCACATCAGACACAAGACAACCTGATGTCCCAACAGGAGGACAGATTGTGTTGATGATTTTTACATTACGGTACAAAAGAGAACGGCCGGCGCTTTTTCATTTCATCGCTGTCTTCTGCAGCTCGCCGGAGAGTCCAAAGGAGTCGTCTGCTCTTCAGGTGACATGTTCATACGCACGGTACAGCATCGATTGGTGTTTATTTTAGTCTATAATAAATAACATATAACATATATTGTCTTTTCTTAATTGCAGGTGGCAATGCGGGTATGGCTGCAGCCTATGTAGCCAGACAAATGAATATACCGGCAACCATTGTGGTTCCGTCCTCGTCTCCTCAGCTGGTTCTTCAAAGACTCCGGGATCAAGGTGCTACGGTCAAGACCGTGGGCAGGGTAAGGTATCATATCCATCACCTTTTTGGCTTTGACGCTCTTTGGAATGAAAAGAAAAGAGTGTTAAGAGGAGAGAATGAAGTGAAACCTTTTTAAGGTTTGGGACGATGCCAATGCCGAGGCTCTCAGGCTGCAGCGGACCGAAGGGCTCACCTACGTTCCCCCGTTCGATCACCCGCTGCTCTGGTAGAAGCGCTCATCGCAATCAATGTGTCCAGCTTCCCGCGCCGCCTTCGCGGTAACAAGCGCCTCCCTCTTCGCCCAGGCACGGCCACGCCAGCGTGATCGCCGAGGTCGCGGCGTCCTTGGGCCCCGGCGAGAGGCCCGGCGCCGTGCTGGTGTCCGTGGGCGGCGGAGGGCTCCTCTGTGGCGTCGTCCAGGGGCTGAGGGACGTGGGTTGGACGGACGTGCCAATCGTCGCCATGGAGACGGCGGGGGCCGACTGCTTCAACGCCGCGGTCAAGGCGGGGAGGTTGGTCACCCTGGACGACATCACCAGGTGAGAGTTCGACGGGTGTTTCAAATGCTTTGAACCGGGTGAGTTTATTTTTTTTACCCCTGCCTTTTTGCCCCCCGTCCCCCTTCTCCCCCACAGTGAGGCAAAGTGTCTCGGAGCGAAGACGGTGTGCAAGAAGGCTTTTGAATACAGCCAGTGCAGCGAGCTCACCATCATCTCCGAACTTGTGACGGACCAGCAGGCTCTGCACGCTGTGGAAACATTCCTAGGTGTGTGTGTGTGTTTTTTTAATGTTCTTTGAGCCAGTAAACCCTGAACATACAGCCGAAATGTCATGTAAGACAATTGACTTTGAAAATGTTGACTTCAATGTGGTAGACGAGGAGCGCGTGCTAGTGGAGATGGCGTGCGGCGCGGCGCTAGCGGCCGTCTACAGCGGACTTGTGCGCAGATTACAGGATGAAGGTAAGCGCTCTGGAGTCAGTCATCTCCCTGAGGCTTCAACACCCCCCCCTTTCCCCTTCCCCGGCCTTCGAGGCACTAACCCTCCTCATTAGTGCCACAAGTTGATTGTGGTTGTTGCACCACTCTCTTTGTAGGTCGGCTGCCGGCTCTCTTGGGCCCCCTGGTGGTGATCGTGTGCGGCGGCAGCAGCATCGACATGGAGCAGCTGACTCACCTCAAACACAAGCTGCAGGCCTGAAGTGTCAGCAACAGTTCAGGGAACGATGGAACGGAGATCAATTAACAATGATGATTAGAAATAAGAACTACAGTTGTTTATCATGTAATTTAGAGGCCAATCTGTGATTTGCAATGTTGGTCATTACGAAATGCGCGCTTGTTCTATAATTGTGGTGTCATTGTTAGTTTGCATAAAATGTAAAAATGCAATGAGATTTCGTAAGTTACGAGCACTTGATGGCGTTATCGGGTGTGGATGTGGTTAACGTGCTCAGCTCAGTCAACTGTCAGAGTTCCATTCCGGCCTTTCCCCACACGGGGGTGTCCCCGCTCCCTCCAGAGTCTGAAAGGCGATATCTGTTTTTAACAGATACTTGTTGATATGATTTGATAATTAATTACACTTGAGCACTACACCTAAAATATCTGTGCATTCTCGTCTTCCCTTGGTCTTTTTTTAATTTGAATTCATTTGAAGCCTCGGAACAATTTCCACATTTTTAAATGAAAGCAGCTTTTGTGCTGAATTGTTTTGTGACACCTTCACCAACATATGAAATGTTTCCGCTCAATCAATCTGTGTTGTGTGTAGGAAGTTATCGCCATGGAAACAGCTTCTCGCTCTTCTGTCTGCGTCAGGGACGTCAAAGGAAAGTGTTTCAACAACCGGCTCGTATCTTTGTCTTCTTCTCTCGCAGACTGCTGCATAATATATGAAGTTCACAAAGGTAAAAGGAGAAAATATACTTTATAGCTGACAGTGACATTTTATAACATATAGCTGAATCTATTAAAAATGCACTTCAAGTGATTTATGAATCAAAACAAAAGATTTTGTTTTAAGTTAGTACATGAATAAAGTGGCTGTTGTCAATCAAATAAAGTCTGTTTTCATGAAATTCCGCCAAGATGCTTGTGTGTATTTGTATTTTAGAAAGGAACCCTAAAAACAAAATAGTAATATTTGAAAGATATATTCCTGTTGAAAACAGCAATCAGACGTGAATATAGTCCTTCTTATTCTGCATATTTGACTTGGACTTTGGTCTTTATTGTGTTATATTTGACACTGTAGTTGTGTGACTACTTTGGTTTTGCTTGGTGTTGTTTTTCTAAGATGTATATGCACACCTCCTATAATATTTTGCAGTAAACACCATCAGCAGGTTTATGAGGGACGACATCATATTCATCATCATGCTGCACTGGAGGCGTTAATTCCTCGAGCCTTACACTGAATGCTGAGAATAATAACATGGGATCAAGTCTTTTATCCCTCGGTAGTTCCCCGTATCAAACCCGAAGGTCGGTATTCTTAAAGCTCTCCACATCCTGTGGACATAAATACATTTTACGGGTTACAATGATCTCCATCGGAAGCTTGAGCTTTATTTATTGCTCATGGTTCGTTTGACTTTTATTTTCACAAGTTTTAGGTTCATCCTGAGGCACTTGCTGCTAAGCGTGATTTTGGAGGGCCCGCAGATGGAGACGCGCATTTCCATGGCAACGGGAAGGAGCCGCTGTGATGAGCCCAGCAGGGGGCATTTGAGTCGAGCTGCGGCTAAAAATAGAAACGAGAATGACCGGAGGGGAGAGGAAGACCTCACGCGTGTGTTCCTGTTAGCCCGTTAGGCTCATGGTATTATATCTCTTTATGAGCTTATCGTAGTTTTTTTCTTACTTTCATTTAATATTTTACCCTTTCAGGTGCCAGCATAATGATCAGTTAGACAACTTTAATGTAGGTATAGGCTACACGGTTTGAACGTATTTTATCACGAATTTCTTCACAAACGGCAATTAGAACTACATCACTTATTGTAGCCCTCAAGTTTCTGAATGTGTTCTGTCATTTTTTAAATTATACTGGCCTGTGTACATTCATTTACTTATTTAAGTAGGTATTCACATGATTGGAATGACATTTTCTTTGAAAAACTGTTTGCCTGTGTTCATTCTTATTTTGTATCATTTGTAGGGCTGTCAACATTAATGCATTAATCTATGCGATTAATGTGCCCTACATTAATGCAACAAAATATTTTAACGTATTTAACGTTTGGTTTTTTTACTTCCCCCGGAAGTTGACCGTGGAAACGAAACGGCCGCCAGCTGCAGTACAGCGACGTACAGCGGAGAACTGAACAGAGAAATTACTCCATGTGTCAAAAAGAAAGGGGCTAAGCTACTTAGTAGCACAGCTGCTAGGCTAAGCTAGCTGCTATGCTACTTCCATCTCAACATCTAACGTTACCCTGCGGGCACACAGCATACAGAGGACCACCACTGTGTCCATAAAAGACGTTTTTGCCAAATGTGGGGAGATTGTTGGCTCTTCAAACACTGAGCGCACGAGGATTAATGAATTAATCAAAATGTGCGATTAATTAATTATATTTTTTAATCTATTGACAGCCATAATAATTTATCATTCATTCATTTAGTGACATTTATTGTTGCTCTTATTTCAGGTCAGGTCCCACGCGCTCTTACCGTAACGCCCAATGCGCACGCGCACTGCGGAATGACGTCCCGGCTGGTCTCAATTGAAGCAACTTAACGTTAAGTAAGTTAAGAGTGATTGTGGACCCAATTAAGGTTACTTTCAATATAAATCATGTAGGTGTTTAATAGTGTATCTTAACCTTCCAAAAACTACATATCTTTCGGTTTTCTAAAACACATTTAATTTGTGTTCGGTGATTAATCATTATTAGCTAATAACGTTGGTTAGCTAAAGGAAGTGTTAGCATCCTAATGCTGTATTACGTTAGCATTTAATAATCTTCTTTAGCATAACTCCAGGGTTAGCTGAACTAACTTTCATAAACGAAATCTACTTCTGCTAAAAGTAAAAAAAAAATTAAATCACAGTGAGATGTAATAATACTCGTTAGACAACTTTCCGATTGACTAAATTAAGCTCACACCGTGACGTTTTATTAGCATGTTGCTTATACAACAAAGCTAGCGGACTAGCTAAATTAGGCTAACGTCACACCATTAAATCACCAGCTCCCATGAAAGAAATGTAATAACGTTAACTGAGCTCCGACCGTCTGCGATGTGCGCGCCACGTTTTCCCCTGAACCGCGCACGGTTTGTCTCAGGAGAAGCGGAGACCTCCCGCCGGTGCCTCTCGGACTGTACCACGACGCGAGTCCCCCGCCTCCCCTCCCCTCCCTCAGCCCGGCAGTGGGCCGCTCCCCCCCGTCTTCCTCGCCCGCGTCTTGTGGAAGCCCAAACAGAACATCATGGCGATCGATGGTAAGTAAGGCCAATAACATTCTCCTCTCCTTAGTGATTAACCACCAAGCCTGGGAAAATAATTAGTGTCACGGGTGAATCCTTCAGAATAAAAAACAACAAAAAAAAAAAACGGCACACGTGATTTTGGGAGAGCGGTTTGGCTGTGCTCGCTGAAAGTAGTTCATTTTTAATGTTTTATTTAGTATTTCTTTTGAAGCGGGGTTTTATTCTGCTGGCCGGGACACGCTGGTGCTGAAAGGAACAGCTCCGCTCCGCCGCGCCGCGCTCACAACGTTCAACGGACACCGAGAAACAACCGAATGGTTCCTTTCTCTTCTCCCGGTAATCGAACCCACGTCAACTCGCTCCTTCCCTCTCTGCCGCTTTACAACTTGGGCCGATGGGGTCCGAGTGTTCCTCCAGTGACCGCCGCGTTGGAGGCGGACTGAGACCCGCCACGGAAGCCCCGCTCCTCGGCTTTGTAGGATCCAAAGTACCGAGTCCGGCTCGTGGTTACCTCGTGATGAGATGGTCCTCTGTGTGTCTGTGTGTGTCTCACGGACCTGTGGTTGCTCACCTTCATTCTGCTCGTGTAACTTTGCAGGTCGTAAGCAGCTTTGGTGTTTATTCAATCAGTTTAAGTATCATAATGCGAGGACTTCATAACGCTCAATTACAAATGGGCTGTTTCGCAATAATAAAGAGAGCATTTTTTTTATCTTTTTCAGTCAGACACTGCAGTCATTTAATTTGTGTTTCCCAAAATAAATCAATATCTGCAGCTTGCCCTTTTTAAGTGATGAGCTTTAAATTGTTGAATTTACTCTGAAACATTTCATTACGTGTCACACGGAATGACGCCTTCGTTTATAACGAGACGTCAGATTCTACAACTAAGTTTCCCAGCCACAACCTTTGCAACGTTGCAATCCCGGTACATGGTTTACATCTGAACCACTAGGCCAGTAGCACCCCCCCCAACACCCGTAAAGCTTCAAGGTCTTAGGACGAAGAGAGTAGGAGGCCAAGAGGAAACCACCACTGGACCACCGATGGTCCAGCAGGAGACTCCTCCGGTGCAGCAACGCCGACAGTTTAGTTCATTTGGTTTCAACCACAGCTGAGTGTGTTATTTTTGTGTTGTTTAGCATTACACTTTTAAAAAAAGCTTTCTCACAGCCACACAGACTAATGTGGAGCACCGGATCTGTCTGTTCTTGTGATGTTCCGATGGGTGAACATCATGAGGTGTCACAGGTCTGACATTTTAGAGGGCCGAGGGATGTGGTGCTGGGTTTTTTTGGATGTGCAATAATCAGTGGTGTATTTTTTCACTGTAGCGAGTCTGTGTGCGTCAGTCATCGTGGCCGAATGTGGTCCCGGAGACACCCAACTTTAGCGGTAATTCTGTCTGTGGACAAAGGATGGCACCTGTGCAGGACCGCTGCAGGTGTGTAGTTGAGAGCCCGGTGAGTGCAGGGCTTGAAGATGGCCGCGGTCCGAGCAGCGGCGCCGGCGGCGTTGCGCTGGGAAGTGGAAAAGGGGCCCTGTGTTCATTTGGCATTTCGGCTGGTGTGATCCGTTCATGGCCTTAAGTTTGAAAAGTATTTTAATTTTCAGTTCAGCTCGTCTCCTTTAAGGTTTTCATGTAGCTACTCCAGAAGTTTTCTGTGTCAACATGGTCTCAAAATAGAAAATAGATTTGCCTCTCTGACCAACTCTGGCTCACTTACAGTACAACGGTTTATTGGTGTGCATTGTCACTTCCACGTAAAAGAAAAATGAAACAATGATTTCAATTATCTATTAACATGACTTATTTTTTAATTCACAGATTGCTCAAATTCAAGTACATTAAAAAGCCAAATGGCTTTTTAAATTTCGATTGTTTCTATTAAAGTATCTTAGATCTCCTTACAACAGTTTAAGGAAACAACCTTGGGTTCGACTCAGAAAAGTTTAGCTATTTAAAGACTTTAAGTATCAACTGACATTCAGCCGAGCAATCCAACCTGTGGATTTAACTTGTTCAGGTTGTGGTTCATCTCTGAACCATTATCATCCTAAAACCATTATCAAAGCGTGCAGCCTTAAATTCCCAAAATATCACAGCTCCTGTGGCTAATTAATTGGATACACACAGCGTGCACACCGGGAAGAAAAAGATCAATGAGCGTCTTCACCGAGCTAATATGAATTGCAGTAATGACAAATGTTATATCTACATCCACTAAGTACAGAGGAGGCAGAGCAGGATGAGCTGTGGATATGTGATGTGCTGAAATGTCAACAACAAAGAAGCTTTTTTTAAGGCTGACATTTTGTCAGGATTTCTCTCAAATCTCACCAAAGCGTCATTTGTCATCTGGTGGCTTCGTCAACCAGTTGAGCTGAAGCCGATAGGACGTGTATGGTAGAAAGAAATACCCCAAGACAAGCCAGGCAGTGCGTTAAACCACGTTGCTTCCTGTCAAAGCCATATTATTGTAAGTGCCAATAATAACCAATGTGTCTTTGGAGCATTTCAGCCATGAAACGCTGTAGCTGGAATAGAGCATTACTCTCTAAACCGCTGAGCGGCAGCCTTGATTATTAATGATGTGGTTAAAGCTCGATATCTTTGTATTAAAAATGGATGAAATGACTGATGGCATAGTGTAAAATGGTGCTTATTCCCCTCAGCCGCAGGCGGCGGCTTTCAATGATGAATCCGGTGAACCCACTGACCGAACCTGTGTGGCATCAAAAGCAGGCCGGGCAGAGCCGGGCAGATCTGGGCAGATCCGGGCAGATCCGGGCAGATCCGGGCAGATCCGGGCCCGGCCATTTGGAGAGCTGATAAGTGAAGCGTCGTCAGCAGCAGACTTGTTTGAGTTGTTCCAAAATGGCCAGAATAAATGAATAATGCAGCTTAAAGTATGCATAATGAAGATACATGTTATCAAATGTAATATTTAGTCAATCTGGCGCTGCGGAATTTGTCCCAGCACAAATACACAGGAAACCGATTAGCCGGAAGTAAAGAAAATATATTTTTCTTAACTTCTATATCGCTGTTTGCAGCCCGGTGCCGTTATTACCACTGAGCGACTGAATATCCTGGTTCTAAATTGGGTACATGTGGGTTTGCGCGATCTAAAAATAAGGCAACAGCTAGCTGCGCTTCACAAAAAGGTGTATGTGAAGCAGTGTGTGGTGTGTGTAGTGTGTGTAATGTAGTGCAGTGCGGTGTGGTATGTGCAGTGTGTGCAGTGCTGCTGTAGCGCGTCGGCCACTCTATGGACTCGGATCGGGCTAATCTCTGGCGCGCCGTCCCCTCCACTCACTGCCGGGCTCCGTCTCTCCCCTGTGGCGCCTGTTGTTATGACAACACAAACACGTTTGATTAAACCAACCTTCCCTCTGCCACTTCCAAGGAAGAGAGCGAGCGGCTTCTATGTTAACAGCGTCCGACAAGAGAGTCTGTAATCGAGGGGACGTGAAGGAATACAAAGACACGCCGTAGGACCACTGGCTTCTCTTTGTCCCTTTGTCCTGTCCCACAGCCTGCGACAATGCTAGCATTAGCATTGTCACCACCGAGCTGTCCAGCTGACCCGAAAAAAAGGCAGATAAAAGGGTCTGACGTTTGACTAACAGCTTTGAGTTCGGGGGCCAGAAGTTTGTTTCCCATTGTTCTTCTCGCTCTCCACCGACCTCAAACAGTCTGCTAGCAGGTCATCCGGCTTCCTCGGCCCACCTTTCTTTGTTGCGGCATCGGCAGCCTGATTGGAGGGGGCCGGTCCAGGAGATCCCTTAAAGAAACTGGGACAAAGCCTAAAAAACAACGGGGCCGGGCCCCACGTGTCTGGCCCCCCCTCGATTTAGCTCGCACAAGCGAGGCACAAAGTGTGTTCACAGGTGTCCCAGGTGTCCCCGACCAGTTGTCGTGTTTTCAGTAACCGGCCCTGTTGTTGTCACAGCTCCTCAACAAAGACTGTCACTCACCACGGAAGTCGTTTACTTCAAAATGAGTATCATTTGTCTTTCAACCCCCGCTTTGATGTTTGTTTCTCACCGCCAATGCATTCATTAGACAGTCAAATTAGCATCAAAGATGTATCTATAATAAATACGAGACATTGGGAGGTGAAGACGTTTGAAATGAGGCGTGACAGATCTTGTGAAGGTCACGTACAGGAGGACATGTTATTTCTGATGTGTGTGGGGAGTGAATGAGGAAACGGGAGCTTCCTCCCACACGCAGCTGCCGTAACCGACCCGCTGGACAACAACGACTCGCAGTTGAGATTGAGATTTTCAAATGGTACGACGGTGCAACAAAAAAACGTGCTTTGAAAGCTCCACCTGTGGAGGGATCCTCCAGGCGGAGCTCAGAGACCAGGAGGCCCCTCACAAGTGTGAGTAACAGAATCCAGTCCCAGTTACTGTCTGGATGGAAGCCCTCGCGTCACGTTTCACACCCGAGCTTTCCCTCGGTGCCGCACCGACATGCATGTGTTTCAGTCACTTTAGCGGACTAACTGTGAGTTTGTGCACCACCCCCACCCCCCACCCCACCCCATCAGACTGTCCCGTCCAGTCTCTGTCTGTGTCCTACATGCAGGAATCTGTGTTCCATCACGTGATGTCTGCTCTGGCTCGCTGTGGCTCATTGAAACTGCATTGTCTTTCCAGGTGGCGAGCGTAACTGTGGAGTGCATGAGCTGATCTGCGTCAGAAAAGGTAGGGCAGATCAGAGCTCTGGCAGGCCGACCTTTGCCCCCCCCACCCTGCCCTTCTCCTTATCGTGCATTACCAGTCGTCCTCGTCCTCCCGTCCCACTCACCGCTTGTGTCCCTTGTTTTTTGTTTTTTTCTGGAAATGACAACTGAGGACGTTCAAGCTATTGAACAAAGCAACAAAAAATAAATAGTTGGCCTGCACGGATGTCACGGAGATCGAGGCATGTATTGTAAATAAATGGAAAACATATTTGTCCCTATTTATTTAAACTAATAAGCCTTTTAAGCACCAGTCAGAAAAGAGTACATGGCCAACCAACATGGTCACCATTAATAATGTTTTGTACGTAGAACCATTTAAACACTGGTATCTGTTTGACGTATGGAAGAAGTATGGGAATCACAAATGTGGATGTATAAACACATGAAATCCCATGTTATCTTTTAATCAACCAGTAGTTCTCTCATATTAGTCTGTAGAATACATATATTTTCTTTATTTATAACAGTTAAGCGTATAAAAAATCAATCATCCATTTAGGTAAAGAATACCCAAATGAAGCATCCTTCACTTCATAAGAGACTTTGTTTGCAACCTTTACTCTCAGGACACGTTGTGCTTCTTTTTTAAGGCCACGATGATGCCGCTGCGGCAAACCTGAAGTTGAAACAAGAAGCCTTTTAGAACATCCGGCTACCTTTGAGGAATCATAATCCTGCGTGTTGAGTCAGAGCCCTCCGTGCCTCTCTGTGCCACGATGGAGGTGTCACATCCCGGATGGAGGGATGAGCCCCCTGTGGCTTCTCTCCGTGTATGAGCCCCCGAATCGTCTGTCTGGTTGTGTGAGTGTGGGTGCATGTTGGGGGATTTGTGTCGGTCCATTGGTTGTGTGTGTGTGTGTGTATGTGTGGACAGGTCTGTGGCCACTCAGTCAGTACTTTGCTTCGAGCCATTGTACGACCGTGTGTGGGAGTGTGTATGGGAGGCTGGTGGTGTGTGTGTGTGTTTTAGTTTTTTGTGGTTTCGGGACGGTTTTGTGCTTTTTGACATTCAACATGGCAACTGTTACCATGCGGACAGAACCCAACAAAGACATCACAGCCCCCAGAACCTCAGACTACAGCACGTTTACATCCTCGCGTGTACGATATGTATGATCAAAAAACACCACCATGCACAGCACATCACCATGAAGCAGCCATCCATCATTTTTCCTTTTCCTCCCACATACATACCTGAGTCCGGTCGCCATGGCAACACGGTCAGTTTAGTAACCGCGACGTCCTTTTTCCCCCGGCAACGTCCTCCTGCTCCTGGAGGTTCTCTAGGTGTCAGATCAGGAATCTGTAATAACGGTACCCATCTATTCAATCCAGTTCTACTCTTTACACTTGAATGAAACCCTTTTAGTCGAGATGAAACCTTCCTGCCCCCGATGAACCTTCCATTTGCTAAACACAAGGACGGGTCACGGTGGCCTTGGGCGGCGTTTGGACACTCCCTTTAGCTGAATGTCAAAATACACATATAGCTGTTATTTTCAGCGTGTTAAAACACCTACTGGGGGAGACAGTGACGTTAACATGGCCTCTCTCCCCTATCAGCTGCTAGTCAGTCCTACATCTCCTTCTATCCTCAACCCTACACCCTGAGCCCTAAGTCCTTAAAATGATGTCTGCCATTGTTCTTCATTTACTGTTAAAAAACCTCACTGTGACAAATGTATTTAATGAAGATCATGTTCTTATTTTTTATAAATCATGTAATATTTGACTTATCAGGCTAATTTTCAGTCACTTCCAGTCAGTGAATGCAGGTCAGGCGAGGATCCAAACGCTCAGAATCAACAGAGCGCTGAGTTTCTGTTGAAAATGACAATGTAAAATGAGCAAAGCCACACGGACAGCGCGTCACGCCGCTTTGAGCGCTCCTCCGGCGGCGCCTCGTCCCACGTCGAAATGCAAACGCGCAGTAAAACGGAATATTGTACTCTTAAGACAGGAAGCCAAGGCTAAAGAGAGAAATGTTCGTTTCCCTGTTTTTGGGCCAGTTGGGGAATTAAAGAGAGCAGGATCCCGCTCCATCTGTGCTGTGAATAATTCAGTCAACGCGGCGAGGCTGGTGCGGTGCGAGCAGACCGGCGCTCCCGTGGGACAACGCCTCCCGCTCCCACCTCATCACGTGACCAAACGATAATCAGGGCTCATCGCTCCTTCTTCTTTTTAAGCAGCCCTCGCTACGCTACAGACTGAAACAAATGCAAAAGGGAGTCAGAGGGGAGTCCGGTCACTTGTTGCGGGCATTGTGTGGATATTATGAATAACGGAAAACCACATAATTGATCGGAAAGTAAGATGTCATCTCAGTACGCTTCCTTGCCAAATGAGCTCATTATCCTCCATCTGCCAAGACAGTCGACGGGTTAAATGGGACAAAATGGACTTTGCATGCAGTGACTTCCGCGCTGCGAAAGGCTTCATACATCATTGTGAATGAGCCCAGCAGTAATCTGAAGAGTCGACGCTCTATTCTTCCTAATTACAAGAAAACAATTGTGTTGTAACCTTTCTTCTTGTTTCTCCTTTATCACTTCTCTGTACTTACAGGACCTCTGCACCTGATTGTTGCTCATGTAGAGAATCTACACACATACGTATACAGTATGCATATGTCTTTTTTTTATTGTTAACCCTTGATTCCTCCATATTATCACCAGTTCAGGGTTGAAACAATATCAGTTTACTCTTCATGAGGAAGACTGTTAAATCGGTCATGTGCTGTCTTGTGCGCTTCTTCTGAGAAAGGAAACCTTATGATATCATGAACATAATTGTAGCTTCTACAAACAAACTTTTGTAAAAGAATGTAGTTTCAAACATGTGGAGAGTCAAACTAAATGATGCCACCTGTAGCATTGTTATTTTTTTGTAATATTTATATCCGCCTTGTTTTGGTTTCCCTCATAAATCCCTCAACTTTATGGATGAAGTCCTAAAGAGTTTAACTTAGTCGTAAACAACCCTTCTGTGTGTTGTATGTTATTTGGGAATAAACGATGGGAATGACACCACTGTGCTCTCACGCACATCCTCTGGTGGGGAGAAATGACGCATTAACTCCTTTTTAGTGTCCTGGAGCTCTTCGGTGTGTTGATGTGCGACAGCGTGTGAACAGACTCCCTCGGCGGAGCGTTTTTTTTCCCGTGAGGACGTACGCCGCCTCCATGAGGGCGGTGGCAAGGTCGAATACGAGGTGGAAGGTCACGCAGATGCGGCGTCCTCTGTGAAAACGGCTCCCTCTGGTTGTCTCCATCGGCTCTAGTCTGCTCTGAGCGGGTTTGTTAGCGCACCGGAGCGAACGTCCCGTCCGGTGTGGGCCAGTCGGCGCTGCGTTTGATGCGCTCTGATTGGCCTGTGTGTCTGGAGTGACTCTGCACCTGAACCTGTTGCTATGGCAACAACCCAGTTGTGTGTGTCTGTGTGTGTTTGTGTGTCCCTCTCTCTCTCTCTCTAACGCTTTCCACGACTTGTTTCACTCCGTCTTAAACTGGTGGAGAGTCACTTGCATGTTTTTTCTTTTTTGAGTGTGGGAGTAAAAACTTTTTATTTTACTGTGAAATTTCATCACAGACCAACCGCATTTATTTGAATACTTTAACAACCCCAAGGAGGACACCATACTGCTGTACACAGTATGTCCAGTTATATCCACAGGAGATATGATGGTTTATGGCCACAATAACTTGTCTTGGGTACCAGAATTACGACGACGTGGGAATTACAGCCGCAGTTAAACTAATAGCAGCATTCGGCGGAACACATTCAGCCACATTCTAGTTCACCAAAATGATGAGCTGACGAGACTTTCTGCATCCCAGTCTCTCCAGAGGTGCTGGGGTTTCTGACCGCCATCGGACTCTTCATCATCCTCGTCACCCTCCTGTTCTGGTACCTCAACAGCAAGTTGGCTCTGGAGAGCCCGGCGAGCCTTCAGTGCCTCGATGACTTCAGGAAGAAAAACGAGCCGCAAGGTGAGCTCGCGGTCCTGCTCAAAGGTACACGGTACATCTAAGTTAGCTCCCACCTGGCTTGTGACCCTCGTTTTACACGTTTTCTGGTGAGTTTTGGCATTTTAAATAAAGAAGCATGACTTTGAGGATGACTTTGGATGATTTGGAGATGTGTATCCAGGTACAAAAAGGCGACAGGCTTTGGTTATATTTAAATATATTTGAATACTTGCAGTTTAGGCTACAGATTCATAACGGTACCTCGGCCCTTTCTTGAGAGCTTCCACGAGAGGATTCAGATTTCTGACCCCGGAGTGAAGTCGTCGCGCGGATCCGTACGACCGCCCGACCTCCGCCGGGCGACATTATCCGCCGCCAGTGGCCTTTTCAACCCCCGCCGCCGCTGATAGATGTGGGCTTGTTTACCTGTCTTCCATCCACGGGGCCTCGGGGGTTCAAAGGGCTGGTGGCCCTCAGGGGATCCCACGCAGGGAGTTTGCTCTGCCGCCTGCTACATATTCAGTTAAAAACAAAGGCAGGCGTGTGAAGCGGCGAGGCAATCGCTCTTGGTGTCTTTCGGCGCAATGAGTGATGAAACAAAACCACGGGACAAATGCAACAATTCGGTTTTTATCCTCTCGGTTACGTAATAATTCTCTGCTCTTTTTGACAAATGCATAACCTTTATCTTTTTACTGAACGCTCTTGAAATGAAATGCGTTTTGGGAATACAGTCAGTCTGAGGCGAGATTGCTCAGTGTGCGTCTGGGTGAAGTCGTCCTAACGCTCTGCTGCCCCTTGTTGGAGCAGAGGTGGAGCTGCAGCTTCACCCGGCTGGGCGACGTAAAGTAAGGATGTTGTACGGGCGGCTTTTATTGAAAGTCTAGAAGATATTAATTGTCTCTCACCTGCGGTTTAGAATTTATACATTGTTTTTCATTACCCTCCTCATTAAAAAATCCCATGTAGCAGTTTGCCCGATTACCAGAGACACTGAATATTCAGGTTTAACAGAGATATCATTTTTCCAGAGGTCTGCATTATAAATAGCCAACAAACTTGCATTCCACAATTTATTCACTTCACATTATTACTTATTCATTTTTCTATAAATATTCTTCCGTTGCATAACAAAGCTCTTTGTTGCATAACGTGTCAAATCACGGCAGAGCTCCATGGCAACGTCAGTGACGATTACTCCCTTCCTTTATTTTTCTGGTCTTTGTGTGACTCAAAATGCACGATTCAACGTCCAATGCTTTGAAGGCGCTACTTTAACATCTGGCTCACATCTGTTTTTACGGTTGTAAGCACCTCGGTTGTCACAAATAATCAGCATTCCGTACCTGCAGGCTTCCACCAACCGGATCGCACATGACAAATATTGCCTGACACGTGACTTTTATTATCAGAGCAATTAATCACCAGTAAGACCTGGAATAACATCACAGATTTATGCAATCCTCGTAGACATGTGACACCAGCACAAATCCAGAAAGGATTTGTTTGTTCTAATCCCACTAAACTATTGATGGCATCAGGGCGATGCTGTCTAGGTGTTCTCTGTCGCCGGTTTTTCACGTACATCTCAAGGACACATTCAGCATCTCCGACAAAGGAAAAATCTAAACATCATCGTCCCTTTGAGAGACGATTACATCGCGTGTCACGACCGTCAGAACCGAACAACAAAATGAATCACGACGCCTTGTGATTTTTCTCACTCAATTCAACACACACACAAAGCAGTGGCAGGATAATTTAGATCATTTGAGGCGGTATAAATGAATTAAAATACATAAAATAGGATGTGAGTGTGAGTGTGCAGATGTCTTTTTAACTGCATCTCCTTAACAAAGCTGTGACTGAATGATCAGTGGCGCTCCGTATGAATGATCCAATCAGCAACAGCTGCCACGACCAAACGCCCTGAATGGATGAATGGATTTTATTAAACAATAACTACTTTTTTTTCTCCGCAAAATGTATATGCCACTACCACAATAATTCCAATTAGTTTGATTTAATGCCATTTGTAAAACTGACATTTTATTTTTTATTTTTTTTAAAGAGTGTCACCTTAAACGCACAGGGGTAATTTAAAGTGTTCATACAAGATGAACGTATGATTCATGACATCAAAAATCACAAAAAGAACGGAATAAAACACCGATAGATATATGAAATCTCTCATTATTGTTCCTTTCAAACAAGTTTAGTTTCGGTGAGTTTAGAGAACCAGTCTGACACGTCACCTTCACGTGAATCAGCTCAGCAGACTCCCTGTGACGGTCTGGGGCCAGTAGGGGCTGCCAGTCCGTCCCACAGGTCCGGTCCGGTCCCAGTACCCCAGCGAGTGGAGGTTGGGATTGGGATTGGGATTAGGATTGGGCCGCGGTAACAGGGGCCGTCTCTCTTCGCCCCCAAACAGGCAAGGCCTACGCCGACGCCGACCTGCGGGACTCGTCGTCGGACAGCGAGGACGAGCTGATGGGTCAGTATCAGGAGGCGGTCAGCCGCTCACAGGGCCTGCGGGGAGGAGCCAAGGCGCCCGCCAACGCCAAGCAGGCGGGGGGCTTCCGCTGGGAGAGCCGTCCGAAGTACAGCCCCCTGACCGCCGACTACAACGGCTACAGCAGCGACGCCTCGGCCGACGCCGGTAGGCCCTCAATCCAACTGGGAGTTGTATTTTATTTTTTTTTAAACGTGAATTCGTCCCTGCTGGTTTTCAGATTTCAGAGACTGCGCCGCTTTAAGATCATCGCCATTCATTATCAATTACCGAGATTTCCCCTCCGTCGTCTCTGCAGTAAGATCGAGCCACGTGCACCGACTCCTCTTCACCTCGGAACCGACGTACACAAACGCACCACACACACACACACACACACACACACACGTGAACATACACACTCACTGGCAGTTAATCCAGAGAGGTGATCAAAGCGAAGCTCCCGTTCAGCACACTCTCCGTGGGAGTGTTGTGAAACAGTCGACTGTCTGCATAATCAGCACAGCCGCAGCCTCCCACTTCTCTCCTTTTTTTTTTTTCTTCTTTTGATGCATCTCTGTTTCCCATCTGCCCGACTCTCGCCATCACAAGGCGTTTCACCGCAGCGGAGGGAAGGCGGGTTCTTCTTTTAATTCAACATTAAGCTTCGAGAACGCCGGCGCGCCGACCTATTTGGATCGGATGTTTGTGTGATGCGCGCACACACGCGCACACACACACACACCTCCTGCGCACCCTGGATGCGTATCAATCATTTAGCGCGTGTGACACACTTAGGACTTATCTCTGGATGCGCTGCGGTCGTTATGACGATGGATTCATGGGTTCAGGTGGAGGAACTGAGTGGATGAATTCATTGAAAAATAAACTCCAGGATGAGATGTTTGAGGGAAAGGAAAGGAACAGCTGTTATTCATAGCTTGCCGCTCACTGGTCCACTTGTATAATCTCATTTAAATGATTACAGAAGACAAAGGTAACGGAGAGCTTTAGTGGTAGGTGTTTGTTTTTTTAAGCCGAATTAAGGAATCAATAAAAACGGTAACTGTAAGGACGGATGCAACAGATTTAATGGAGAACAAAAACTGAGGCGGCGATGTCCCCGTGCGGAGCTGCATCAGACCTTCACGCCGTATTTTTATTTGGACACAAACAAAGACGGAAATCTGCCGCGTTAACGTCTGCCGGTGCTTTTCAAAGACAAAAACAACCTAATCATTGCCAGGGTCCTCGGCCTGTGAATCACCAACCCGCTCTGCGTTATATAAGACCGTAGCTTCCAAGTGTCTGGCACCATCTATTTATGGCAATGTTTGAATGTGTGGCTGAGGGATAAACAGCGCCTGACATGCTCCTGTCTCCATTAGTAGAGAAGCACTGAGCGAGGTTGTCGTTATGCAAGGGCTGCGAACGCTGCGTGTCTCCCCACAACCGCTAGATGGTCCTTGTCATCCTGCAGATTCGGGGATATTACATAAATATATTTATGGTCATTTGGGTTGCACACGCAGTAGAGGAGTGCGTCATCCCCAACACACCACGGCCTAAATTAATTGATGTGGTGATCCGTGGTTCGGAGACTCGGAGGAGCAGTTTGCTTTGACACCGAGCTGATGATACAGAGCAAGATTATTCCTCAAAACACATGATTGTACATAAATCTAAACAGCAGGTCAAATGGAATGTAGTAATTATATTCATTGTTTCGTTACTCACTGAGACTCATATTTGAAGAAGCAGGATTTAATTCCATTGATCAATTAATGAGAAAATCATTTCAGCTAAACTTCCAACCCCATGTCAACCAGACTCATTTGTTCCCTCCTTTCATCCGCATAAAAGTCCCAACCAAATTTAATTGTGAGGCAATTTAAAAGATCAAAAGCAAAGACTAGAGGGAAGTCTGAAATATTAAGCATGAGGTTGTGTGGCACAAACGCGCTCTCTGCTTCTGTTAATCACCTCGAGACCCCTCGCATGTTTCATGCAACAAATCACTGATTGACTTCCCAACAGAACCAGGAATTTAACTGTGTTATTATATTCTTAATCCAAGGCCACCAGCTCTTTTAAGGATACGACCATAAATATGCAGTAGTACTGTAACATTTAATGACATTTATTTCACATAAGCAAACAGTGGATTTTTTCGGGGGGGTGTTTTGTTCAGTAGCGGTCAGTGTCGAAGCGGCCGTGATTTGAGTCATGTATGTGCCCGACAGCAATCATCTGAACTTAGTTTATTCATACAGCAACATCTTATCCACATAAAGTTCCTCTGTTTGTTTCCTCGAGTCAAACAGCCTCAAAGGTTTGGAGGATTATATTCAACATTTTAAAAGCTGATTATTCCATTAAGGGAAAATCGGGTACGTTTGCATTTTCTCTAAACTCGTTTGGATCATCGGATTATTTCTAATCAGTTTACTTGTAATAAGCAACGCAGTAATCTGATCTGTAGTGCACAGAGGAAGTGGAGCGAGAACGCCGCTCATCCATGACTGCACTTTGGCAGAAAGTATTAGCGGTTCGTTATTTTCCTCCCTGAGGTGAGGCTTTGGTGGCTGCGCTTTTCTCTCCCACTAACCCGTCACGGATCGGCAGCGACCACGCAGTGACCTCACGCCGGTCCACACGCACCGGGTCACTCCTTCCCTCCGTTTCAATTACAAACAACCTGCCGTAAAACTCAAATGGAGTCTGCGCGATTCTCTCCCGACTTCCCACCTCCCACCTCCCACCCAAGGAATATATCATACATGTATCATACATGAGGGCAGTTGTGCAGAGGCTGCGGTATCCGGAACAGGTGAGAAGGAGCCATTGGAAGGACAGTTTGTGGACCGGCTCTCTTCTCCGCCGCCCGGTCGCTTTGCCGCGTGAATTATTTCGCTGTCTTAGAAGCGCTTCAGTCTAAATGATTCATTGAACGTAAATGGCGGCTCTCACGATGTCATTTCGAACAGGTTTTCATTATGTTAACGTTCGTCTAATAGACTCTAAACAGGGTGTGCCTTCATCCTACTCCCAGTCTTTATGCTAAGCTAAGCTAATTGCATCCTGACTACATCTCCGAACTGCACGCGGACACATTTCCCAAGGTTGAGGTTGTGCAGCTTTGACCTATAAAAGTATGTTTATGAGTTATCACCCGCTAGAATGTACCACATAAAGCCATTCCTTTAGCCCAGAGGCGTTTGCTGCTTGTAATATTAATAGCTGCTGATTGAGGGGCCACTCAAGGCGTCGGTGCTGAGACAGTGAGGTGCTGCTCTGCTCATTTGTCACCAAAGATATTTATACCCGAGTCTCGCAGTCAGGATTCACAAAAGCACAAAATGCTTCCCGACGCGTCGAGGTACAACGAGGCAAAACAAGGCGACTGGCAGCACAGAGGGGGTGAAACCCTGCGAAGGAAAGCGGGATGGGGGGGGGGTTAGACGAGAGGAGGAACTGTAACCGTCCCAATTAGCGGGCTGGAGGAAAGAGGGGTGCTTTTACACCGCAGCTCCCATCAAATCAAACGCCCCCCGGCTCAGCAGAAGAGAAAAAGTGGATTTGCTCCTTTTTATCAAGGCCTGCGTGACACTTAGTTAAGACTCCACCGTGCCGCTGTAACGTGATACTTTGACGCGGCGCCTCCTACTGACATTATTAAGAGTGAAAGTTTCAAGAACTCGGGAGAAAGCTTACGTCACATCACAGCGTTGGCTTTTCCCAAAAGTTATGGAGACAATAAAAGGAATAAGGTTTATCTTCATCTTTTTGTTTTCTTTATTTCGGGGCGCCAGTGTCCCGATGGGAGTCTCAGCATCGGCTTCTCGCTTTTTTTTTGTGAATCCAAATTGGACAATGGAGGCATATTTGAGAATGCAGCTGACAACACTATTCAAGGTTCTTTATAAGTGGCACAGAGACTCTCAGCGTAGCCTCGTTCACCGCCTCGCAGGCAAACTGAATCATTTACAAAGGTGAGAGGCATGAAATCGCGGCAGATTAAGAAGTATTCAGTTTGGTCCTTTAATGGTGCATATCTGATGTTTTATTTAGGTTGTGCATTCACAAAATTCCTCCCAGAAAGCACATCATGCTCACGAGGACAGGCAGAACGTGTGCCACTTCAGAGAGCGGAAATGAAATGTGTGATAAATTGCACACAGCGGCGTTCGACTCAATGCTGAAGAACTGCATGAATGATAAATATGATACGAGCATTGAGGAGCGGCCACAGATCAAACCTTAATTTACAGAACGGTAAATCAAATGGCATGGCTGTGCAGGAATACATACATATGAATGTCGGTGTAAAGCTTCACTGTATGTATCAATAATTCTGTAAATTCATCGATTAGTGCAAAAGAGGCCAAACGACGTCAGCGTCACACAAAGCCAATGAAAAGCAAATGAACGACTATCCTGGTCGCTGGCTGTTAGGACTCATTCCTGCACCGCTCTATCACAACATGCACATACGTACACGCTTAGCTTATAGAAAACTGGTGAAGACGGCAATAAAAACCACTACTAGGTTTCATTCATTAGCCCGTCTCCCAGTGACCTTTTCTCTCGTTATCTCTGCTGTTGTTCAAAGTGGATTCAGATGTTTTGGCCTGTTTCAAAGCCAAAGCTGCACTCGCTTGGACCCTTTTCACCTCTCAATCAATCAGCCTCTGGGCTTCTCCCACCCTGCAATACGTTTCATTTTGTCTCTTTTTTTTTTAATGCTTTTTCTCGGCATCTTCTTGTTGTCTGAAGCCCTTTTGAGTTTGTGTACAAGCTTTGCTCCACCAGTATAATTGCCTTGCTTACAGCGCCGGCTGTGGCTGCGATGCAGCTCTGTGAGGCGCTGCTGAGGCAAAGTGGGGCCTCGACCTCAAAGTTAACGGCAGAATCACATTGACGAAAGAGGAAAAAAAAGTCTCAACAACGCTGCAGCATTTCTTTCACTTCGCTTAAACCGATGTGCGTATCGCGTATGGCAAATTGCCTTCTCTAGTATAAAAATGAATCCCGATCCTGTTGCTGTTGCTGAGAGGCTGGTTGGAACCTTCTGACTCGCTGTGGATGTAAAGTCGAGGGATTACCAGTCGACAGGGTTCATCCTCTGCACCGAATTTCACCAAGTAGTTAAAAGGTGCTAAATTTGATACCTGGAGCGTTAATGTAGCACTTGTGTTTGATATGGCGCAGTTCACTTGGTACAATCCCGAACCGTACGTTCTTGTGACCCCCCCCCCCCCCCCATCTCTCTGCCGGCGTCCCCCCAAACCAGCCAACTGCATCCAGAGGATGAGACGAACGCCGCCGCTGGACGAGCTCCAGCCCCCTCCCTACCAGGACGAGAACGGCTCCCCCAGGATGTCCTGCACGCTGTCGGACCTGGGGGACGCCAAGTGCGACCTGTCCTACACCAGCGGCAGCCCCCGCCTGTCCTTTGGCAAATGCCCCAGCGAGTGCAGCGACGGCCCCGAGAGTTACCTCAACAAGGGCTACGAGGAGGACGTACCCAGCGACAGCACAGCTGTGCTCAGCCCCGAGGTAACGACCACCCGTGCGAGGGAGGGGGAACGGGGGGAACGGGGGGGGTTTGTATTCACCGCTGAGCTTCTATTCGGTTTCTCCAGAACATGTCGGCCCGGGGTTCAGCCGCTCGGCTGCCGAAAGGTTACGACCCGGATGCGCTGGCCAAGCACGGCACTCTGGACGCGGTGTTCGACTACGACTCGGAGGACCAGCAGCTGGCGGTCACCATCATGGCGGTGTCGGATCTCCCCGCCGCGAAGCGCACGGGCAACATCTCCTGGCAGGTCCACCTGGTGCTGCTGCCCACCAAGAAGCAGAGGGCCAAGACGGGCATCGCCAGAGGCCCCTGCCCGATCTTCACCGAGACCTTCCACTTCAGCCACGTGGAGTCGGAGCTGATCGGCAACTACGCCGTCCGGTTCCGCCTTTACAGTGTGCGGCGGATGAAGAAGGAGAAGGTGCTCGGGGAAAAGGTGTTCTACCTCACCAAGCTCAACCTTCAGGGCAAAGTGTCCGTGCCGGTCATGTTGGACCCCTGCTGTGCTCTCCCGGTAAGTCGGACCAGAGCCTCGTGACTAATGGAGCCTCCATCGACCTTTCATGTGATTAGGTAACATTTTCTGGATGACGTTATAATCTCCAGCGTGAAGGAGCAGCTCCTTTTGTTGTATTGTTGGTTTAATGTGTCTGACGGATGGTTGGCACTGTGTCCTTTTCACATCAGAAAATAAAAGTAAATTTAGTGACGCGGGCTTCTTTCTTGAGAATCAGATTTCGAATACAAGGAGGAAAATCAGCATCTCAAACCACAAAGGACATTAGTCATGTATCCAACGAGGAATTGGTCCTGTATTGGTTTATTTGGTAAAAGAGCAACATACGGTGTCTAAAATGATTGAATACTGCACCTCTCAAATGCTATTGGTGATATAAGGAACTAAAGAGGAAATGGGGAAAAAATAAGCATTGGTGTCATTGCTATTAATAGATCAATAGAGGGATTTGTGGAATGTGTAACGCTTACTAGTGAGTCCTTTCCCGAATGTTTCCAGGGCGGTGAATCGCAGGTCAGCCTCTCGGACACGACATGCAGTGAAAGCGCCTCATCATTCCAGTCAGTGAGTCAGACTTCCACACCAGAGATCCTCGTGGGCCTGGTGTACAACGCCACGACAGGTCGGCTCTCCGTGGAGATCATTAAAGGCATTCACTTTAAAAACGCCGCCAACAAGCCACCCAGTAAGTACTCTAAAGCGTTCTGTTTGAGTTCTCCCGTCAGGAGAGCAGTGATGCGTGTGAACCTTTTTCCAGGAGAGGGATGGGGGGGGTTGAGCCTGAGGGATGGATGTCTAGGCAGCCAATGTATGATGTGATAACGCCGCTCTAATCTGCTTCTAAAGCAAATGTCACAACCATTAACATTGATTTGCAAGACCAAACTTCAATCATAATGTTTGGATTAGATTTATAATAGATGATATGAATAGATCTCCCCTTTAATCACTCATGCCAAGTGTGGTCAAACCGCTAAAGACCTTGTGTTGGATGCATATGAACTGCTTCTTGCTTTAATTGTACCAACTAAGAGGAAATATTCCCCGGCTGAGAGATAGTCGGCTCTATCTCAGCTGCACCGCCTGCTTTTCGGTTGCCCCTCATGTACCGGTTCAAAGACTCCTGTTGTTGAACTTTGTGAATGTTGTTTGGCCCTCTGACCTTGTTTCTCTTTCCTCGCATTTTCTGTTAAGTCTGCACCTGAAGGTCTCGCTCCTTTACAACCGTTTTGACATCTCGGTCCGTTGTTTTTTCTTACTGCTGTCCAACCCTTGTTGTCAGATGGGCTGTTCTGTTGTCTAAAACACTTGATAGGTGGACAGGTTTATATAATCAGAGGTGAGTCTCTGTCCTGCCGCAAAGTGACGTGTGATCGCCGTTGAACCCGTCTTCATGGATGCAGTCGATCCAACACAAGGCCCTTCCAATGGTGCCGCTGGTAGTTTCCGTCTTTCCCCAATTCTAAAGGTGGTGTCAAATCAACACCGCTTCCCCGATGAACACGGGCGTTACTTCCCCGTCTTCATCGCTACCCCCCCCGCACACGCAGACACACACACTTTAAAATGGAAACACTCATCCATGAAGATGGCCGCCTGCTGTAAAGCCCCGCCCCCTGTGTTTGTGTCATGCACCCCGCTCTGGCTACCTGTGTCGTGTCACTCCTCTGTGTGCGTGCCCGTGAGGCCTGCGGGCCGTCCCGTGTTTCCACTCCCGAGCAACGCTTGTCACGCTAACTCGATCCCGTTTGCTCGGTGGCCGCCGGGCAGCCAGAAGGAAATGCCACCGCTGGCTCAGCGGCACGCTTTGGGCATGCTTTGGGTGTCGTTTTTTAAAAATGTTCAGCTTTGCTTACAACAGAAAATAACAGAAATGGGACTTGTGTGGCAGAGAAGAGCAGAAACATTCATACAATAGACCCCCGCGCTGTCCTCCCATTAAGTGCCGCGTTTCTTATCCTCATTAATGTCTCCTTGAGTATCTGCCGGATTTTGATCATGTTTATGCTTCCCTGAGGAGCTTTCACATATACTGTCTATAAATTGCGTTTTGGAAATAGTCACATCTGGTAACACTGAGAAAAATGAAAAAATCTTTTTTTTTTTTTGTGCAAAATCCTTATGAAGGCCTTGATTGACTTTGTGCTCCTCACAAAGTGGAGCGGTGGAGAGCAATTTCAGAGCTCCTTCTCTGCCATTTCAAAACAGTGCCGAGCCGCCAAGTCAAGTTAATCATCAGTCGCAGCCCCTCTCATTCAGCCACAATACCAAAGAGCCGTGCATCACCGCCGCTGACCACTTAAGGCATCCACGGCTCCACGGAGCCCATTCAGCAGCAGTCGAAAAAGAAATCAAGGCTATTTTTTTCACTGTGCTTTTATGTCAAAGAGAGCAACTGAATGTGTGATTCAAGGCGGGGAGCGAGGCGTTGGAAGGCAGCTGGCACTCGACAGCATGAAAGCCTCTGCAATTCATTCCTTATACTCCCCCTTTAGACAGGAACATAATGCACGGCGTCATTGTGGAGTACGGCGGTAGACGAGGGGCGAAACACTCTCAAAGAGACATTGTGATTGCCAGTCTTCCCTCCTTTGCGTTACCGCTGGATTTGTGGCTTCAGTTTCTCTCCTGATTTCTGCAAGGAAATGAGGAGGAAAAAGGAAACCGTGAGCGCTGAATCACTCGATGGTGCCGGTGGGGATTCTTTTTTTTGTCTTCTCTTTAAACGAATGAGACTCATTTGGGAACGATTCTCTGGGAATGTGCACGCATTTAGAGTAGAGTAGAAACGGCGGGGAGTGTCACACAGAACGACATCATCGTCAGCAAACGTGTCCAAAGATGACGTTTTCTGATCGATTTACAAATATCCGCTGCAGCTTTTGGATGTGGATGTCATGAAGTGTTGGAGTGACACACACCAGTCGCTTGGTGCATGTGTCATTTGTTCGCAGCATGCACGCGCCCCATTTTTGGACGAGGCCGCCCAGGAGCTCTAAAAGTCTGTGCACGCGCGACGCCGGCGTTATGTCAAAGTCAGAGAAAAGCCACAGTGGCTCCTGGAGGGCCGTCCTGATGAGGAACATTCATTCTACAGGAGTCGTATTGCGAACTTCTTCCACGCCATTTCTCATCCTCAACAGGCTCCCCGACATCGGGCTAGACGTGCAGTTGTTGCATGGCAACAAGACAGAAGTAACGCCGCATGCACGCTTTGAATTCTCGCTCTCTCGCTATCAGGAACACACACACACACACACACACACACACACACAGAGTAGAGTGTGTTTGATCAGAGGAAGAGAAGAGAAAAAAAAAGGCACACTATGTCGGAATGATCCCATACATCAACTGCTGCAGCGGCGTGATTACAAGAACCCTTTGTGCGAAAAATGGGTCACATTCTGCTGCAGAGAGAAACACAGCTGCGGCAGGTAGAAGCGCTTTAATTCAAAGCTAAATGCGTGAGGATTTAGCAATAACGATCCAGCACTCGCCTCAGGTGCCATAAATAAAATAAAAAAACGAAAATGATCTCTAAAGGTTCACATCATTTCCCCTTTAATAGTTTCCTCCACCTGTTTTCTCCCTCAGATACATACGTCAAGCTGACCTTACTGAACTCCATGGGCCACGAGATGTCCAAGTGCAAGACCTCCATCTGTCGAGGTCAGCCCAACCCCACCTACAGGGAGACCTTCGTCTTCCAGGTGGCCCTCTTCCAGCTGTCGGACGTCACGCTCATCCTCTCCGTCTACAACAAGCGCAGCATGAAGCGCAAGGAGATGATCGGCTGGATCTCGCTGGGCCTCAACAGCTCCGGGGAGGAGGAGCTCACCCACTGGACTCAGATGAAGGAGTCCAAAGGACAGCAGGTGTGCCGCTGGCACAGCTTGTTGGAGTCCTAGCGGCAGGGGGTTCAGCGGCGATGGAGGAAGGCCACTCGCCGCCTTTCCGGCACAATCTCACCGACAGCCATCGATTAAGTCATAAGGCCTTTTCCTTCTCGTGGATCGCCTTGTAAGGAACGATAGGTCTCTGTAGACGGCACTCTGTTTTTATGTGTTGGAGCCGTTCCATGGGCGCGGCTCTGGACGAAGCTGTCCTCATTTTGTTTAATCCAGCACAAACCGACCTTTTATCTGACAGGTTCCCAACATGCAACTTGTTCGACAGGTTTACGTCACGACTTTAGGGGTCGACCGAGGGCAAAGTTCCCTTTTGAGAAGCCACTCACCACCTCACTTTGCACCGCCGTCGCTAAAGGCCTTAAACATCTCACCGTGCTGAGCGTAAGGCAGCGCTGTGCGGTTGTTTGCTGGTGTTGTTAGATCATTATTTGGTTTTGAATTTCTTCCGGTGTCTGTTCTCGTAGAGAGAGGTGTGGCTAAATGAAGCTACGCCATTGGCCACATATTAATCACAACCACCTCTCTTTTCTTTGTTTTTTTTAATTGAATCTGGATACGATTTAGTTGTTTTCACCTTGTTGTTAATGCCTCTGTTTAAATCCCGCCACATCCAAACGTTTCTACTTCATCAATTGTCTCCTGCATTAGAAGTGACCGATGAAGCGGCGGCCATGTTGGGTGTCGGCGGATGTCAGAGACCGCAGCTGAATGAGATCGCTCTCACGGATCCGCTCGGGCGCCGCGTCTCTCCCTCGTCTGAGCTCCGGCGGAAGCAAACAAAACATCAACTAAATCACTTTAGACATCCGTCGTCAGGCAAATCCAATTCGCGACATACGACCTGACAGCGGAAGTGTCGCGGCTGATGTCGACACCGAGCTCTCTCGGATGACATTTGCATTTCACATTGTTAGATATCTCTCATAAAACAGCAGTTTGCGGAGGCGCTGACAGACTGACGAGTGTTATATTTAGAAAAAGACAAAGTAGTTTTGCCGCGGTGGTTTTGTGTGATGTTGAGTTTCCATCCACAACTCAAAAGTCACACGCAACGTCAAAAACATATTCAAAGACGTTCAACAATAATAACGCCTGCCATGTCATGTGACCCGCCGCCCCGCTCTGGTGCTAACGGGGGCTGTGGCTGCTCGCCTTGCCTTACGGTTACGCCACTTTACAGGTTTCTGTAAGTGTGGACTCACACGCTCAGAGCGCACACACCTGCACCCATGATAACAGAAAGCACCCACGGCACCCGCCCTGCCTCACCCGGGGGGGGATTTTTGTTTTTTTTAGCCACGGCGACTCCCCCGATTCCTGTCGTTTAAGGACAAACGGATGATGCGTGGACTCCTTGCTGTGCCTGTAGTGAAAGCTCGCTTTGTGCAGTGTTTACCGTGTGTGTGTGTGTGACTGGAAAGGGGCAGTAAAGGGGGGCTCGATGTAGGTAGTCGTTGCATTTTTCTCGCTGGCTGTGTGACAACTTCTGAATTTATTCACCCACTTCTCGATGGTTCCGCCGCATACTTTATATACAGTAAATGTTTTCATATCTATTTTTGTATCGATAATGACAGTTCCACAGTGGATCAGATGTTAACCTGCAGCTTTGATGCGTTTTTTTTTAGCGCAGCCTTCACGGCGGCGGCGGAACACAGCTGGTGAACGAGAGAGATGCGTCCCATCATTTGAATCCTACAGTAAATATGATCGGCCCGGATCCTCCGCCTGGACTTGAGTGAATCAATCGTTGTGCGTGTAGTCGAGACTTAGTAGTGAAGAAGTTGCCTTTTGAAATGTGGATTCTCATTCATGTGCCACCCAACACGTCCTACGGCTGGCGTGATTACAGTGACTTTGCTAACAATCTATGGAAGTCAAGAACTGGCCAAGGGGATTTTAATCGCAGTAAGTAACGGAATAGCTAGAGGTGAACTCACTAGTTTACCACTTGATTTGTAGATTTGAAGAATGTGTTTTTAAAATCTCTGCTTTAAAAAGATTCAAGCGCAGACTTAATTGCAAGGGTTCTTTTAGGGTATTTGAGTTCAGATGGGCAATCGCAACCAAAATTAAAAAACTACAGATTCAGCAAAGAAATTAAGAAATTAGGTGGCTGACATTTAGTTGCCAAAACTCAAGAAGTAACTTAAAAACGTTCATCCTGATCCTGAAATCTGACATTCAAATGTTAACAAACCCCCTGATTGGAGACGGACGCTTGTCACGTTATATTTATTCAGTAGGATTAACATGTCTTTTATTTGTGGCCGCTGTGCAAACCAACGCACGGACCCGGCGAGCGCCTCCTAATCATTCGCCAGATGTGTTCCACTGATTCGTTTTATTTTCTAACATTATGTCAATGCTTTGCGGTTCATTTTGCATTGCTAAATGCCGTTTTTTTTAATGCTGGTTGGTGATTCTTGTTCTCTTTGGAAACCAGCGAGGGCGCCGGTGCCTTACTGTTGTTCACTAAGCCACCTTGTGTCACAGTGTCTTAATGTACTTCTTCTTGTACTTTTCTTTGTAATTTGAATTTGTAAAATATATTACAAGTTAAATATGATAGAGAAAGTTTATATGTGATATTATTGTTTTAAAAGGATCAAAGAAAAAAAGCACTTGTGTTGGAGTAGTTTGTTCTCCGTCTCATCGCACTCATCCACCCAAAAGCAACTCCACCCACATTCATATGAGAAAACATCCACTTTGTTCTCCACGCGCTCTGCGATATCTGTTTGTAAAGAAACGTCCCCATCGACGGTAAACAACCAACAGGTGGAGCAAGTATTTCATTTTGCTGCTTATTTCGCAGTGTTTTGCCAATTTGACCTTCAATTTCACACACACGCAAACTTTGAATTATTCTTTTGTTTGACAGCAGACGGCCTTCACCTCGTAAGACGGTGTCGCATTAAACCCCCCCATAATGTTACAAGTGGCCGGTGAAATGGAAAAGAAATATTTAAGGCAAACAAATATTTTTAAAAGAAAGATTTTAACAACATGTGGGCTACGAGGGGAACTGTGACAGTGGCGTCAGTTATGCGTAGGTACAAACATCACCTGGATGTTAAATATATCGATCACACCTTTCTGATTCGAGTCCAAATTAGGAACGCATGACAACAGGGATACACTTGGCAGCAGCGTTTCCTCTGCTGATCATTTTGTGAGGTGCATCTGATCCCCCCAGACGGATTTATTACATATAATACATATCATGCCGTAGGTTTTTGTTCCCCTCTGCAGAGACGTGTCACTGTGATGTCGCCGCTGCTTTGTGTGATCCTGCCACTAAAATGAATCTCCGTGTGGTAGTCGTAGCTTTGAAGCAAAGGTAAAGAGAGAGGAGGGGGTGGAAGCAAGATCAGAGGTACTGTTTTTACAATTAACTGTGTTCTCCAGCACATTCCATGGCTGAACACAGAACAAAGGGCCCAGAGGGAGAAATGCTGGAAAATAAGATTCAGTGGCTGCAGCTGAATCAAAGGGGAAATGCATGACAGATGAGAGGGGCTCGCTCCCTCCCCTCTCTTTGTCGGTCACATCCCTGCAGAGCAGATCTCCAACGCACAACCCATCTAAAAGAGAAGTGTTAGATTGCCTTCACGTGCTCCCGGAATTGTGACAACTACGGATTCCGTAGACGAATTGGCGTTAATGTGACGTCACGCAGAGACGAAAGGACATTTCCTCTGACAAACGGAAATATTGTATAAGCCGGAGTGTGTGTGCGTGTGTGTGTGTAAGTTGATAGCAGAGTGATGTTGATCGGACGGACCCACAAGCGCACCTCAAACGGGGGGGGGGAGGAGGAAGGGATGGATTCCGAGCCGCGCCTGAACGCCTCGGCAGTAGTTTTCGCCTGAAGGGCTGAAGCTGTGACGCCGCTGTTGTTTTTCTTCTCTCCACATTTTCCACAGCCGAGCGAGCCGCAGCGACGTGAGCTCCGCGCAGCCTCCCGCACATGGGAAACCACCACCAGCAGCGCGACCACAAGAGCCCGGCTTCCCAGTATCTCCCAGAGGAAAAGAGAAACAAAACCACCGCCGCCGTCGTCGTCGTCGTCGGCTGCGCGGTGCGCGCGGGGATGCTGCGCGCGGGCACAGCGAGGCAAACGCGCGCGCTTAATGACAAGTATTTAGACGACTGGGTAATTAGCTGGTAATTGCATAGGGGGTAATTAAACGGCCGCCGTGGGTTAGTGCAGAGGACGGAGTGGCGTTTATTCACTGGGACTCTTTTTTTTAATTTTATTTTTATTTTTTTCCCTTCCCGGTTTTTCATCGACGCGCTTTTGGATTTCTTTGCCACGAAACGCAAGTGTGGATCCGAGGACGAGGTCCGAAGCGCCGCAGACAGGTGAGCCCGCGTCCCCCGTGTCCCGGCGGGTCGCTCGGGACAGCGGCTTCATTTGGGAAAAGTAAAAGTTCTTTCATTGGGACCTTTGGCGTCTCCGCGCCTCTAACGTGAGACTTCAGGGGGACATTTGGACTCACTACCTACATTTTCCGTGTTGACGCATTCACTTATATAGTTAATCAATAAGTTGTCGTTAAGTTGAGGCTGTTTCTTTTATTATTTTGCATTCAAAATAATTTTAATGGTCATTCTGTTTCATGTAAATCCAATTAAGCAAAGCAAAAATACATTTTTTCCAATTTTCTGTCCATTGTGGCTAAATTGCTGTTGTCATTGACTCTGCCTGATGCGTTCACGTGCTGTTGATCCTTTGATACAAACTGTAGTAGAACAATCGGGATTTATGAGAACCGGGACCAACAAGACAGAGTGACTCTGGTCCCCTTTATGCAGGCGGACACAACGGGCCCCTCCTGGCCCCCATCCAGCCTCACTTCATTATTATTTCGCGAGGACCGCTCTCTCTCGGCTGCGGCTCCCGACGATGGCGGTCGTCTGTTATTACCGCATCCATTTTCTGAAAAAGAAGCAGCTTTTTGGGTCCGTTTGGCTTCATCGTGAGCTGCGGTTGTAATTCTCTCCTTGATGTCACTCCTGTGCAGCGCTGAGACCCATTGAGTCACTCAGGAGCCGCCGGGCCCCCGGAGAGCATCCAGGACGCTCCAACATGGCAAGTTTTATGGAGTGAAACACTCCATTCCTCCCTTTTTCTTTATCATGTCTTTTGGTTAAAGACTTCACCTCCTCTCGCTGCCAACAACATCCGGAGTCACTTGCCAGGAATTCCACCTTTTGGCTATTCGTCTCCCCCTCGGAGGGGGGAGAAGTGTGTTATGCGGGATATGGCGAGGCACGCAACAGGGGAGGAAAATCCAGCTCAGATTAAACTAACAGACCAGAGAAGCGGGGGGGCGGGGGGTGGGGGGGGGCAGGGGGGCGTGACAAGAGGAAGCGCTCCTGCTTTGCGGCGGCGCGGTGGACGGGTTCCTGGCAGCCAGCTGATGCCAGATTCCTTCTCTTTGCCGCCTGCCAAAAATCCCTCCACCCCATCGCCTCTATCAAAAAGCTCCTCGCCGCGACTCCCCCATTCCCCCCCCCCCCCCAACCCCTCACCTCCTCTCTCTCAGTTCTGTCACGGCGCTATCCATCGTATCTTGCTCTCAGCAGACTCTCCCCGCTCATTAAGGGATGTGAACCTGTCGGTATCCTGCAGCCCCCTCCGGGCCATTCATTTACCTCAGCGGGAGAGAGGGGGGAGAGAGTGGGGGGGGGGGGGCAAAGACTCACATCTGGAGCAGCATTTCAAGACGTAGAAGACGAGGAGATTGAATCCGTGACGCGTGCCGGAGTAATCGGCCCTCGCCGCGTGCCGTTTGTCCTCTGTATTGATCATGTTTTCTCAGCCAGAGCAGCTGCGTGAGACGTTTCAACGCGGAGGGAAGAGTTGGGCCGCCACCGGGGGAGAAGCATTCCTGCGGCGTGTCATCGGTGACGGGCTTCACATTTCTTCCCCTTTGTCCCTCTCTTTCCCCCGCTCTGTTTTGGCCAAAAGGTCTCAGCCAATACAAGTTGGGCCGCCTCGGCGTGTGCGTGTGCGCGTGGACCGCAGGGTGTAGCCCCAGACTTCTTTTTTTCCCCTCGAGCACCGCTTCCCCACCATGAATACGTCTTTGTGCTCCGGCGAGACACACATCCAACCGAGGTGGACAAACGGGAGCGAACGCGCACTTGTTTCTGCACGAGCGCAAAGGAAAAAGAGAAGAAAAAAAGGTGCGACACAGACATTTATTTCTAGGTGAGACCTCGCGACTTCGCAGTCACAACACCTTGAAATCCGGTAGTTGCTCCAAAGAGAAGGCGCTCTCCTCTTTCCTTCCTCCTCAAAGATTCCTTTCCGCGCTCCGGCGTGTCTGCGACGGATCTAGACCTGCATAGCAACGTGAATTTATTTAGACGAGAGATTAAGGTTCAAAATGCTTCACGTTCCAGCACGAGATGTCTTCACATATCATAAATATCTGTGGGGAATTCCTGATCCCCTTCATTACCGTTAAAAAAAAAAAAAGAAAAAGCTTGAAAATCCGTTTGGGGGGGGGGGGGGGTTACGTTATGCACTCACCAACCAGTTATTTTGTGCGTTAATAGCCGCATACCGACGTCCTTGTCTGCCTCCGACGTGCTGCATCCACCGCCGGCCCGTCAGGCCCCACAGCCACAACACGCCGTCCCCACACTGCACATAACGCAGCGCCGCACAGCTGACCTGCCACAACACATGTGTCACCCCCACACACACACACACACACACACGCACGCACGCAACCTCCCGGAGGCCCTCGAGCGCAGCTCAGTCACGCCACCGCGGCCTGAGACGGCCCTCAACACACTGCGAGCTGCTCTGATGAGTCCTGACAGGCTGCAAGCTGGCGAAAACACGACCTAAGATGCAGCCAAAAGAAAATACCAACATGCCACTGTTGTTTTGGTCCAACGTCAGGGGGGGGGGAGCCTTGACAAGTCGGACCCCCCCCTCCCCTCACAGAGAGTCCAAACCACATTGGACTGATTTCCATCAGCACGAGATGTGATTTGCTTCTCGGCACCGATGGCGGCTCTCAGTCGGAGTGAGTCCCCGCCGGTGTGTTACCTCCCTGACTGACTCACCCACACGCCGCTGCTCCAGACCGGCGTTTTTGTGGTCCTACGAGGCAAACAAAACATGACGTGTTTTTAATGACCTGATGTGGATTCGTGAAGCTGCGTCAGGGATCCTGGCATCAAAGCGCGAGGCTCTCGGTGCCTAAAAGCTTCTCTGAAAACTCCAACTGTTTGCATCAAACACACGCTTCTGGCAAAGCATCTTCAGGCCTTTTTCCCCTCTGATGCGCCCAGCGGGAACCGTCGGGAGTGTTTCGGCGTAGCCGCGGTCCGCGCTGCCAGCGGGGGGCTAATTGCTCGCTATCTGAGCGTCTCAATTTGGATTCACGCCGCACGGCGCTTTGTTGGCGCCACTCTGAAGGAGAACTTGATTTAATGACACCTATTATCTGCTCTCCATCGGTTCTCTCTCGCTGTGCGCTTCGCCCTCGTACATGCGGCGGCGCTTGCGCGCGCTCTCCACCCCCACGCCAACTGGCGCAGCGAGGGGACGGAGCAGCTCCACATCGAGAGGAAGCGTATCTCGTGGTTTAGTC